ATCCGACCCTCGGCATCGGTGTTTCCAATCCTAACATGAAGACCCGATCGCGAGGTTAGAATCTCATCGGCCACATAGCACTCCTCGCCCACGGAATTGCGGACCATGCACAGGGCAACCACGACATGGACATCCTCCGGCTGCAGCTGACTGACCACCTGCATGAATCCAGCGGCAGCAGCTGCTCCGCACTTGTCGCGCGACATGCCGGCCATCACACCGCCGGCCTTGATGTCAGCACCGCCGGTGTCATAGGTCACTCCCTTGCCCACCAGCATCAGGGTTTTCCTCGCCGGCTTCGGCGGCTTGTACTCCAGGAAAATGATGCGACCGCGGTGACGCTCAACGGCATCGGCAGCCCGATTCACTGCGGCGAACAGGGGATACTCCTTCTGCAGGACTTTCGAGTCACTGATCACATTCACGTTCAGTTTGTCGAACAGCGGCTTGATGTACTTCTCCACCTGGATGGGCGTCATGCGCTCTGGATCCCCAACTCCGATGTCGCGGGCCACAAAACGACCAGCCTCCAAAATGAGAGCTTCCTGGAAGATCGACTCGGCCTTGGGATCGTCGATCTGGACACTGAGCGTGGTCACACGGGAATCCTTGCAGATTCCTGCCTCACGCAGTTGAATGGGCTGGAAAATAAGTTTATTTCAAGAGGGTTTTTTTTTAAATAATAAATAAAATTTACTCACCACATAGAGCTGCTCCAAAGCGCCGAGAACGGTGCAGAGCTCGGCCTCAGGGAAACGCTTGACCTTGGGCACAAAAAGCAACGGAGTTCGGAAACCAGCCTGGCGAAAAAAAATTAAATAAATATATTGGTTAAAAAAATCATAATTGATTTTGATTTGCATGCCCACCTCTTTAAATAGAAAACGGTTGGCAACATAAAAAAAACATTTAGGAAAATAAATACTAAGAATAGTAATTTATAGTAATTCTATTAACATTTAAGTAAATATTCGAATATTTATTTTTATTAAAGGAAATTTAGTTTGAATTCAAAATATCTACTTGGAAATTCATATAAAATCCAGTAATTGTGGTTTCAGAAAACCGCGTCCTATATTTTATTTTTGGAAAAGATATACATATATACAGAAATGTACATATAAATGTACTATGTATTATAAATGTACCATAAAAATGATTCCATTTTTCAAAATTTCTTAAAAATTAAAGCGAAACAAGTTCTAGAGATAGAGAAGAAAAGATACACCTAAAGATCCACCTACCTTGAGCACCTTCTCCATGGACTTCTTGGCCGCCTCCTGGTAGCTCCTCACATCGTCGTAGTCGGTGAGTTCGGTAACGGGAGCGTAGACCACCGGCTGGTCCACATTGGGCGCCTTGAAGCAGGATATGCTGCTGTCGAAGGACTTGTCGAAGCTGCGGTGCTCCTCGAAGGCGGCCTTCAGCTCATTGGGAACCGCCTCGCGGTCGATGATGCACAGGCAGTCGCTGCCCGCCAGGCTCATCAGCTTGTTCAGCCGGAGGGTGCATGGAAGAATTCTGGGGGGCACAAATAAAGTGCGCAACGGAATTGTGTTATTGATATTCATTAAGAAACATTTCTGGGTGTCAACAATATAAGCAATGGCGTTTGATTGCCGTGAATTTTATCACGTCACAGCGGGTCTATTAAGTGATGCAATAACCTTCGCCTTTTATATTTCAATTCATTTTTCCAGCAGAAAAATCCCCTTTAATTGAGGAACAACCATACCCCTGTTTCGGTTTGTTTAGCCTTCCTTTTACCCTCATTCCTGGCGCTGAGATTATCTTAACTTTAAGTGCTACAAAGAATTGTGATAAGCTTTTCGAATGACCATAATCATAATAATAATCTAATTTCCCCAATTTGGAAAGAGGTCTACCTGCGGTTAAGGTATTAGGCACAAAAATTGTATAATAATACTATATCTTAACTAAGAGCCTCTTGAAAAAAGTAAGTGACTTTTATGATTAAAGAAAATAATCTAAGGTTTAAATAAATTTTTTGTAAGTCGCCTTGCTTTAACCTAATAAAATTGTGAAATTCTTTATAGACAATTTGAGTATTGAAAATTTCCTGTCCTCCCCAGTTTTACTTTCTCACAATTTTGTCAAACAATGTTATCATTTTTGGAAAAGATAAAGTATGGAATGTTTAAGATATCCCGATACTTTGAAAGCAATGAGTGAAAGTGTTGATATAGCATTATAGAGGTATTACTGGAATGTTATAATTTAAAGGTGCTATATTAGTAACCTTCACTGTAAAAGATGGCGAATCCCTGGGAGCTTTCCCAATCGGTCGCTAAGCGTGGCCAGATAACTACGGCCCAATAATTTAAACACACCCTCCAATAACTAGTAATACTCACTTCTCGATACCCATGATGGGGGACTTTTTACAGGCAGCTATCGCGACTTGGTCGATCGGCAAGTGGGGCGTCACTGAACTTCAGATGGGGACAGAGCGCTGCAGCTGGAAACTGGAAAATGGGGAGCGGGATCTGGAACGGAACCGAAAGCTGGCGATAAGGAGCGGTTCTGATAACTCTCGACAGCGATTTGCAATGTTCTGGCTGGGTGGCCAAGCTTTTTATACAATCGTCAAGCGGGCCGGGCTTTTGTTTTAATTGCTGTAGAACTACTTTGGCAAAAACAAATCGCACGAGCGATGAATAAGCGCCAGTATGATCGCAATGTAATACTAGAACTCGGATATAACTCGAAAACAATAGAGGCAAAGTCTACTCACGTCGCTCGGTTGGGAATCGTGGGTTTCCTCTTGCCAGTCACGTCCACGGTGGATGCAGTTTCTGGGCCAAGCCAATCGCGAAAACAAAGGAGAGTCGAGTCGAGTCGGCCAGGTTTTCACAGTAGACCAGCCGGCATGCGTAGAGCTTTCAAATGCCGGCCAGCTGTTTGACGTTTGCCCGCGTTGCCAATCGATTCGAATAGGGTGCAAAGCTTTGGGTTCGAATTTTTGATACCCTTCAGGGTATCCTTTGTAGTGGCAAAATAAATTTCTAAATACTACGTATAATCTAGGAACTTTTAGAACACTAAAGGGTTCTAAGCCAATTATATTTTAAAAAATTTTCGGTTCTTGTGAGGTTTTTGAAAATAGCAATCTGAACTTATGTACTTTAAACAGTTTAAGAAATAATGCTTTAGTTAGCTACATAGATTGCTTTAAAGTTTCTTCTTAAATTAATTAATACCATCATAAAAAACCCATTAATATTTAATAACTTTCAAAGATTATCTTCTTATTTCTTATTGGAAAATTGTATTAAATTTTACCTGTGAAATTTCCGTATAATATTACTAATTACATGTTAAAAATTTTTCGGTTCTTGTGTGGTATTTGAAAATAGCAATCTGAACTTACTTTAAACACTTTAAGAAATAATGCTTTAATTATCTAGATTGCTTTAAAGTTTCTTTGTTAAATTAATAGTTTTATATACCATTATAAAGCCATCAATATTTAATAACTTTTAAAGGTTACTACCTTCTTATTTCTTTTCAGAAAATTTCATTAAATTTTACCGGTCAAAATTCACTATTATATTACTCAAGCTAACCCTTCATTAAAAAAACACAACTATTAAAACAGAACATTTATTCACCATTAATGAAGCTCTGTATGTCGTTAATAAGTTTCGGCAACTGCTTGGCCTCCAGGACCAGGAGTTTCCTGTAGGGCGTCATCACGGCATCGCCTTCCAGCCAGTCGCCGGACATGCCCGAGTCCGTCTCGGAGGCCACGGAATACTCGAAGGAGAACTTGGCCCGATCCGACAGCAACTCATCCTCGGCATTGGTGTAATTGTCCTCGGCTGGCTTGCCCTTCTTGGCCTCCTTGCGGTAGAATTTAACCAGGAGCAGCAGAGTGCCAAAGTCAAACTTCATTTTCTTGGCCTTGGCGGCGTCGATCTCCTGCTGCAGACTTTGCAGCAGGGGCACGGAGATCTGGGCTGGGATGTTGATGAACCGCTCGTTGACCAGGAAGCCCACATGGCGCTGCTCGTTGTCCAGGAGCTCCCTCAGCTGCTGCTGCACTTGCTCCGAAGCATGCGACTTGGCGCGATCGAGCAGATAGGTTCTCAACTGGCCAATGCTGGGCTGATCCTTCTTGGCGGTCAGATTCAGCACGGAGGTGATTCCGAAGACAGTGCCATCCTCGACCATGTTTTCGTCGTCAGTTTCGCTCTCGGCGCCCTCGTCGTCGCACTGGCAGATCACACTGCCCACGTAGTTTTGAGCTGGAAATATAGAGGGTTATTTAAAATGAATATTTAAGAAAGATAAGAAATCCTAGTGGTTTTTAAATACCCACATATAATAAGGTCCGCCATTTGGTTGCAATTGATGTGGGCTCGCAGGAACAATCGCTGCAGCAGCTGGGAGATTCCCTGGGCATCGGGATCCACCGGCGAACGTCCTTCGAAGTCAATTTGCACCTCCTAATTGGGAATTAACTTTATAACATTTGTGTTTCTGTATTTTTGTGGGGTTTGCTTACCTCGTTTCCCCTGTAAGCATCTGGATGCGGTTCGTCGTCGTCCTCATCCTCGCTGGAGCTGGAGTCCTCATCGTTAGGGTCCACCTCCATGGTATTCAGTTTCTTTTGCTTATTCGCAGACATTTTAATAATTAAGTAAACGAATTTACTTTTGTTCCGCTTCCAAATAACAATAAAAAGCGGCTTTGCTTAAACAGCTGATTATCGCTCACACGTGTTGCTCCGCGTTGCCAACCACTTGCCACAGCGCTGTTAGGCGTTACAGAGCTCTGTAAACACAACTAACATATGCTGTTACACAGGGAAAAATAATAATTTGTCTAAAATAGTTTTTAGTAAAACAGTAGTACGGTTTATTATTTTCTTTGATAAAATAACTAATGCATACAAAAATTTTCATTGATTTTTTTTAAGTCACAGGCATATTTATTAAAAAATTGAGTGTCATCTTGTGCTTTCCAACTTCCGTCTCACTTATGAACATTTAAAATATGAATCTTCTTGTATAAATACATAGGTTTTTAGGTCAGAATCACGTGTCCAGCTCCTTCTTCAAGATTTCAGGAAAGTCGTTGCTGTTTTCAGTTTTGACTATAACTGCACCCTCCTTCTTAATTTTCAGACGCTCCTCGTACTGTTCCTGCGTTAGCAGACTCGCCTTAATGGCATCGCAGTTCTCGATTTTCGGCAGAAGGATGGCAAAGTAGCCGGCTCCCTCGGGCAGTTGCTCCAGTAGCTTGGGCTCCTCCACCAGGGCGGTGTTGACCTCCACCAGTTTTCCCCTAATGCAGCTGGGCACCTTGTAGGTCTCTCCACTTTCCGTTGTGATCAATACCAGGGTAGACTCCGCCTGGAGGATCATTCCGCCCTTTTTGCCCTTGCCCTTGACCACATTCTGGCTGCGATCTACGTTCCCGATATCGAAGTTCACCGATGAGATGCCCTGACTGAGGGCAGGATGATCGGGAGCCAGACAAATCAGGCAAATGCGATTGGAGTGGTAGAGCACCTGGTAGGGAACATCGCCCTTAAAGTAGTAATATCTGGTGAAGAATCGATCCACAACGGTGGGGTAGTCCTCTTGGAAACCGTCTGTTATGGGCGTTACTAACTTTCCGCAGATCTCCTGTTCCTCGTGCTCGAAGTAGAAGGCTTCTAGCGGATCCTCTGGTAGGACTGACATATTGGTAGTCTATATTTCTAATTACTCTCTCCCTGGAGCAACTTTTCCTTGTATTTCGCCTGACGTTCGAGGGCTTTGGCTCGATTTGCGGCCGATCGGGCAATACGTTCGCCTTTTAGACACTTGACCACCTATTAAATAAGTTTTAAGAATTTAAATAAAATTATAATTTAAGACACTAGAGAACCTACCTTATCGTCAATGGAATTACACACGCCCACAAATTTGGCAAAGGCGTTCTGTAAATAGGTTTCCCCGTTAAGTTAGCAATACAATTCCCGGTAATCCCATGTTAATAACTCACATTTTCGTGACAGGCCTGGAGTTCCTCGATCAACTTGTTGCAAGCGGGCGTGTGCAGGTGGGCGGCTAGATCCGTATGCATTTTCAGCTGATTCCGGCCGGGTTTATTGTCTTTCCAGATTTCCTGATTCGATTCGCGTGTGTTGTCAAATGTTGTTAGGTAATTTTAACATATGGTTTAACATTACAGTAACAGGGTATCTGGTCACATTCAGCGTATTACAGAAGTCAGCTGTTGGCTAAAAATACTAACAGAAATACCAAATGTTAAAGTATAAACCGTTATGGTTTGAAAATGCAACTTCGAAAAAAATGCATAATATAATATTATTTATTTGATTATCAATTTGGAATTACCTGGGACTTGATCTTTGTATATCTTAATAAATAATAATAATAATAATAATAATAAATCTTAAAAAATACACACTTTTTTGGTCACTCCTAGGAATGATTCAAAATTATAAGTCCTTCCGAAAGGTTAAATAAAACAATGGATTGCTTGGGGTTTTCTGTTGTTTTTATTTATTTGTGTATTTCACCCGCTCTCACAGTTCATTTTACATAGGCTTTCAGTGTGTAAAATTGATTATAGTTTTTTATGCGTATGAGCTGCTCAGGCTCGTCAACAAGTTCATTTAATTTATTTAAGTAGGTTAAATTCTTTATTATCGTCTTCACTGTTTGCTTTTATCAAAAAAGTCTTATCAACTACGAAAAATCGTCAGGGACACGAACCAAAAAACGAAAAAAATTAAAACTTTACGAAATTCCATTTGCTCAAAACTCAAATCTCAGATCTCAAAATCAAAACTCTGCGCCGTTGTCCACTACTATTCGAGGAAAGGAAAGAAAAGAAAAAAACTGGGCACTTGGGAATTATAACGGGGTTGCCAGCCAATGAGGGGTCGAATCGGGTGGGTTATGCATGGTAGATGGGTTAGAAATCGTCGATAATTCGTCTATTAGTTATTGCTCTCAGTTAGGTGGGTTAAGTGCTGATCTACTCGCCTAGAAAAGACTCGATGTGTGTTACCTCTCTCTACTCGGTTAAATATGAAATTGTTCAGTGTGTAGTTGTGTGTTTTGCTCTCGATATTGTATTAGTTTCCCTCTCAAAAAGCTCTCAGTTCGGTTAAGTTATGTGAAATAAGTGAAAATAAAGAAAAGATCTCCTGCAAGGCGGTTGAAATCAAAAGTTCTCTAAAGCAACCGTTGCTATTTCAAATCGCTCTTGCCTCTCTCTCTCACCCTTGCTTTCTGTCTCTCTCTATTTATTTAGCTCTGTCTCTCTCCCTCTTCCCTCAAACAATGGCCTTGTTTAATGTCTTGCGCTGTTGTCCTCTACCGATTATTGGGGGTTCTATAATAACATTTCTCCCGTGTCGATATTAATTCCCTATAGACGGTTACCGGTGCCGATGTCACATTCTCTCTATCTCTCGCTAAAACAAACTAAATGGCAGGTTTTCTCCTCTGGAGGAGCCAACACCTCAACTCGTCTTCTTGGGATCGGCCTGGTTCTGCTGGGCCCCATCCCTCTGCTGCGCCTCGATGGCAGCCAACGCCGACTCGGACATCTTCTTGTACTTGCCGGCCAGCTCGGGCAGCTCGTAGGCAATGGCCAGGTCCAGCTTGGTGATCGGACAGCCGCGGAAGTAGGTGCAGGTGTCCCTCAGCTTCTTGAACTCGTACAGCGGGTTCAGGCGGAAGAAGTCGCGGTAGACCTCCGGGTCGGGGAGATCGTAGCGCGAGATGTTCGTCAGCGTGGAGAGGCCCTCGTAGATGTGGTAGTTCTGCGGATGGTCGATGATGTCGTCAGCGATGCGCTTCTTGTTGCCGAACAGCGTCTTGTGGTTGTTGAACGTGTTCAGGTAGCAGTCCACCATCTTGGCGTGGTTGCGCACGCGCACCTTAAATGGAAATTTACGGTTTACTATAGTTCTAAATAAGATTGCCAAATTAATAATTTTAAAAAATAATATTTGTACAAACTGGAATTTAATTGAGCAAGCATTTATTAATTATTTAAACATTTAACATTTTAAAGAAAAAAGTTAAATACTCTTGATTCTAAATTAAATTATTGCAATTTAATTAAAAGCTATTTTTTTTTATAAATTGGAATACAACAAAAGTTTAATAGAATGTAAACAAAAGCTAAAAAAATTAATGGTGATTACAAATTATGATAGTATACACATCAAACCTCAAATCTATTAGATCAGTCTGAATTCTCTATTGGTTTTTTTGTTCTATTTTATTTATTATCAATGCGTTTTTTGAAGTTTGGGATGTTTAACAATAATTTAATTGTTCTATCTTGTTATTTAATAGTTGCTAAAAAAAATTTTTTTTTGTTGAAATATCTTTTGTTTTATGTATGTATACTTTAACCAATTTATCAAAAGCTTTTGAAAATATTACGCATACGCCCGAGTAATCACCGCGAAACTGCGTGATTTTTAGATCATGTTATAATGTAATCTAATTGTTCTGTAAGATATTAAATATTTTTATCAATCAACTAAAACTAATGCAAGTTAACCAATTTATCACCCTTTAAATAAAAGCTATCGCAAATATCACGCATACGCCCGAGTACTCACCAGAAAACGGCTGTGAGTTATTTTATTATATTATCTAATTCTTGTTATCTAGTTGGTGTATTTATATCAATAAACTACTATACAAGTTAATCCATTTATCACCCTTTGAAAAAGACCCATCGCCAATATCACGTATACGCCCGAGTACTCACCGCGAAACGGCTTTGAATTACGTTATAATATCACCTTATTACACAGGTCGACAAAATCAAGACTTTTTCTTGGCCCAAGAATAAACGCTACAAAACCTGAAAGAATGTTAGCTGTAGATTACTACCTCATCCCTGGAAACTTTCCAACACGTCGAAGTTTTTAGAAATCCGTGGTCAAAGTTCCAAATTTTCGATTTTTAGGCACTTTTTGCGGCTTAATAGTAAAAAAACCTTTCGTAGCCCAGAGCCACAATTTAGAGGAACTGGTACCTTGAACCTTTAACTTCAAGAGTGTCTGATCACAAAGCTGGGCGACCTCTATATCTTTAGCTACAATGGAATTTACAGAAGTACTTTTTGTCACTTTTTTTCATCTATAGTAGCCTGATATTTTCCTTGTTGAACTGAGACCCGTACACATACAATACATTAAAAATATCAGGCTACTATAGATGAAAAAAAGTGACAAAAAGTACTTCAGTAAAATCCATTGTAGCTAAAAAAGTAGAGGTCGCCCAACTTTGTGATTGGGCAATCTTGAAGTTAAAGGTTCAAAGTACCTTTTCCGCTAAATTGTGGCTCTGGGCTACGAAGGGTTTTCTTACTATTAAGTAGCAAAAAGTGTCTAAAAATCGAAAATTTGGAACTTTGACCACGGATTTCTCAAAACATCGACGTGATGGAAAGTTTCCAAGTATGAGGTAGTAATCTACAGCTAAAATCCTTTCAGGTTTGGTAGCTTTTATTCTTGGGCTTTTTTTTTGTCGACCAGTGTTATTATCCCCTAGCTGGTATATGTTTAATCCATATTTTTATCAATCAACTATTATACTACCCTATAACTATTATACTATAACTAGTTTGCTACCCTTTGAAAAAGAGTAGAGCCCGGTACTCACCGCGAAACGGCGGGCGCTGGCGATCTTGTGCTCGATGCGCTTGTCGATGGCCGTGCGCAGGTCGCGCAGGAAGGCGCGCTCCTGGGCGAGCAGCAGGCGGGCGGGGGCGCCATCCTGGTAGGGATGCGTCCACAGCGAGGTGGTGTACATCAGCGGGGGCTGGGCGGAGGACATCAGGGGCGAGATGTTCCAGATGAGGGCGCCCTGGACGCGCAGCAGCTCCTCCGGCTTGACAGTGTCCGCCTTGTTGAGGATGATGCGCGTCTGGTACTCGCGCCCCTTCAGCTGGTCGAGAATGGCCTCCGTCTCGGGACCCACATCCAACTTGGCCGGGTCGTAGACCAGAAAGATGATGTCCGCCCGATCGATGAACCACTGGCAGGCGTCGTTGAAGGGGAAGACTCGGGACACTTGCTTGCGCACCTCTAGAATGCCGGGTATCTCGACGATGTTGACCTGAAAAGCGCATAGCCAAGTGCTTAAATATAGTAATTCTCAGCTTTACTGTCTGTATTTTTTGTGCTTTGTGTCGGCCACCACCCAGTCCGCCCCTGTCCCGCATCAATTTATTAATAACGAAATTAATGCAAACAGCCTGTGTGCTAAAAGCTATAAATTCCGTTTGGCAGGTGGCCAGCTGCTCTGCAGTTTCCCAATCGACGGGCAGCTGCCCTGGGCGACAAGTTAATGCCTCTGTCCCTGATCTGCCCTGCTAGATATTATATATGTATCTTACCTTCTCGAGGATCTTGCTCTTCATCTTCAGACCCCGCAGGCGCTCCTCCAATCCCTGGCCGAATTTCTGCAGGCCGGAGAAGGTGTAGTCCGCCGCCAGTTGGGTGCCGTCGAGAACCTCCGTCTCATTGCCCCACATCAGAATATTGAAGTAGGCCGGAGAGGGTTCAGCACCTGTTGGAAAGCAAAGGAAAATAATTAAAAAGGAATTTTAATACATTTTTCGTTTTTTCTGAATCGATATGTTGCATTTCTAGACATTTTCTTTAGTTAAAAAACATTTTATTAAGCTAGAATCTGCTTTGAAAATTTTAAATTAATTTTTAAATAATATAACACTATATTTAAAGTTTGTATTTATTTATTTTCTCTTTTTGAAATTGTCCTGAGACAATAATGTAGAATTGTTAATGTCATAAAACTTGTTATTTCCACACTTATGTTATGTTTCCGGTTATTTGTTTCTTTGTTCTAAATTATGCGTTTTATAACCATTTATTTGGATGATCAACGTCTAAATAAAATTTTATGTTATACTAATAAAATCTTTTTGAAACAATCATTTAATTAATATTTTAAAAATGAACGTTTGCCCTTTTGTTTGACTTAAGAAAAAAGTTATTTAAACTTTGATATACTCACCAGTTCTCAAGGAGTTGGGGGTGTACTCATTGTCGGTCAAATAGTTGAGGATGGAGGACTTGCCACCCGACCAAGGACCCATGAACAGGATCAGTGGCTTGGAGAAGATCTCGGGATCGCTAAAGTGGCGGTTGCTCAGGTCGCGATACTTGTAGAGGGTCTCCAAGGGCTTAACGGCGTTCTCGTAGATGCGCTTAATGTCACGCAAAATGATCTCGGCCACATTGTCGGTGGCCTTTTCGCGGGCATTGAACTCCTCATCCAGCTGAAGCAGTTCCGTGATGTGCTGGCGACTGCGACGGTTCTCGGGGATGTGTCCTTCCTGAAAGGGAAATATTAATTATTATTTTTTAAAGGTTTCTCCAAAAGACACTTACCCAGAGAAGCTCATCCTCTGGCTTGGTGTCATCATCATCATCATCATCGTCAGCAGCGGCATCCTTCGCGGCATCGGCCTGTGGTTCCTCCTGAGCTTCCTCAGATTCCACGGCATCTTCCTGCACGGCTTCGGGTTTCTTGGGAGCGGCTTCCTGCTGAACGGGTTCCTCCTCGGCTTCCTCGACCGGAGCTGGCTTCTCTTCCTCCTTCACTTCCTCAGACTCTAGCTTCTCCTCTTCCTGTTTAATTGGTTCCGGTTCGACTTCCTCTACTACCACTTCCGGTTCTTGTTCCTGGACAGCTTCCTGTTCGGGTTCTTTTACAGCCTCGACTTCGGGTTCCTCTTCGGCAGATTCCTCCTTGACAATTTCCTCCTCCTCTACGGGGAATTCCTCGGCGGGACTTGGTGGAGCCTCAATATCCATAACGGGAGCAGCATCCACCTCACGTTTGCTACGCTTCTTCACCGCATCCTTCTCATCCTCGTCATCACCGTCGTCGCCATCGTGATTCTCGCCGCTGTCCTTGTCGTCGTGCTCGTTGGGAACTCCATCGCCATCGATATCCCCGTCGTGTTCATTCAGGATGCCATCCCCATCGAGATCCTCGTCCTTCTCGTTCGGCACACCATCACCATCCAGATCTTCATCCTCTGCGGGGGTTTTTGTGTTAGATCAATTAATTTTAAAATTAATTACTGTTTAATCAACATACTGGAATTGTTGGTGCCATCGCCATCCAAATCGTCATCCTTTTCGTTCCTCACGCCATCTCCATCGATATCTTCATCCTCTGATTTAACCAAGCAAATTTAATTGTTAGAATGAGTTTGATAAGAACTATAGTATTGGTTTTACCGTGGTTAACTTTGCCATCACCATCCAGATCTTCATCATCTTCATTTATCACTCCATCGCCATCGAGGTCTTCATCCTCTGTGAATTACAAGAAATGAATTAATATATTTTCACTGAAATAGTTGATTTGTTAACTCACCGTGATTGATTTTTCCATCTCCATCCAGATCATCGTCTTCCTCATTTGGCACACCGTCTCCATCAAGATCTTCGTCCTCTGAAATATTTAAAAATGTATAAGAAACTGCGCCAATTCTAAGGTTAAATCATAAAAAAGCTGATATCAAAATAAGATAAATGCGCTAAGTTGCAACCATCTGAAAATCAGAGAAGATTTTAAATTTAGCAAATTATTCGAAATTATAAACCTAAAACAAAATATACAAATTAAAGCTTTAAAATTAAGCAAATCAAGTATCAAAAGCAAAAAGGTACATATAATTTATGTTCATACCATGATTTGGAGTGCCGTCGCCATCTAGATCATCATCCTCTGCGGGATAAAATCAGAAGTTCAAGTTATATCAGTTATAAGCCAGAATCTTAGCAAACCCACCGTGATTCGCCTTGCCATCGCCATCGATGTCTTCGTCCTTGGAGTTGGGCACACCATCCCCGTCGATGTCCTCGTCCTTGGAGTTGGGCACACCATCCCCATCGATATCCTCGTCCTCATCATTCGGGATGCCATCGCCATCAATGTCATCATCCTCGTCGTTTGGTATGCCATCTCCATCGATATCATCGTCCTTGTCGTTCGGTATGCCATCCCCATCGATATCATCGTCCTCGTCATCGGGAATGCCATCGCCATCCAAATCGTTGGCACTTTTCGCGTCCTCTGTGGAATCCAATTCGACAGTTTCAATTTCAATCGTCTCTTTCTCATCAACCGCGGATAGCCCACCATCATCGCCGTCATCGTCGTCGTCCCCACGTGGCTGATCGGATTGCAGTTCTCCAGATCCATCTCTGACACCATCTGCAGTTATATAATCGAATGATTAATCCACTGAGTTGACCACAATTTGGGTGTTAGTCATATTTAAAAGTTCTTCATTTGGATCTGTTTCTGATTAGTAGATATATCTTAATAGTCCATTTAACATAATTTATTATCTTGTATATCAGAGAAATCTTGATAACAGGTTGACTTAATAAAATTGTTTTATGTTCGTTAATTCATTTCTTTTATGCATATTTTTCATATATATTTTTTTTAGTCCTTAAAATATCTAAACTAATCCCTTACCTGTTTTCAATTCATGTATGGCCTTTTCAATGTAGGGTCGACATTCTGATTCGCTTGGTCCGACATCGGCATTGACAAACCCAACTGAAAATCGTCAGAGAGAACATGACAGGTCAATTTGTAATACGAGCATATAGCACATATATCCCAGAGACCAGGAAGGGCTCTGGGAAGGGCCCCAGGCTATTTTCATCTCGTCATCTCCTAAAAGCCAAGAACAATGGCCCCACTTTCTCGGTTTGATGTCAGCGCCAACGGCGAGGTCATTCTATCTGTTCAAACTTGACATTATTTATGGTACTCGAAATATATGCGGCGGATTTATGAATTTTATTTTTAAAAGATGAGAACTCAAACACATTTCGCCAGCTTGTGGATGAGTAAATTTCTGTACCGTTGGCTGCTCGCCCACTTTGGCCTTACTTCTTTATTTTTGTTTCTCTTGGCCACCTTACTGCTCCGAAAATCCGGATGCGGGGGCGTTCCATTTGCAATGGAACATTCTACATCTTCGGCATTTGCTTTTTGGTAATGGAAGGTCGCCTTTTGAGTGACTGGTGGTGAGGTCGTTTGGCTAATTACTTTCGTATGCTCAGATAATTAGGACACGGGCCCGAGATCAGAAAATATATCAGGATCCAATTAATAGCTATCTAAATGAGTTGCCTATCAGTTTTCAGTGTGCAGTTTGCCTGTCGGCGGATAATTCATTTGATTTATTTCAGGGCGTATGTGGGCAGGAAGCTATTTAAGCAATTTCGCATTTCAACGCTAACCGCATTGATAGAATTATTTATACAAATTTCGCCGACCGACCGACCGCCTGCCTGCATATTGTGTTTATGTTGCTGCAATCGAGCCCATCCCAGCCCATAATATATAGTACACGGCATTTGCGCCATTTCTCATTTTTCTTTTTCCCAATTTGTTGGCTGTTTTGCAAACTTGAGCAAACCAAACAAAATATACAGAGACATTTCGCACACACATTTGCGGAAAATATGTAGATGAAAAGCGCTCGCTGAGCGCAAATAAAATAACTTAAAAATGTCTAAATTTAAAAATATTACAAACGATGACAACGAAGAGCAACCAAGCGGCGCAAAAGTCTCAGAGTTCTCCCGAGAAAGAGGAAAAGTAGGCAAAAATTATATCTGTATCCGTATCTGTGTGCTGCCACTAGTGGTTGGCCAAGTCAAGTGTACGGGGCTATACTAATATACCAATGCCCAAAGTGTCGTCCACTGACGTTTGCAGACACCAATACCGAAAGAGAAAAAAAAGAGGAAAATATATAGAACGCACAAACTCAGGCAAATATTTTTAAACGTATATTAATACATATAATTTTTTTTGTCGGACATTTTCCTTCTGTTTTTCTTGGCTTTTTGTTATAAAATTGCATAATGCCTGCCCAGGCTGCGTGAAAAACTGTCAAGATATTCGAAAGTGCCGCCTCTCTCGCCCTTTTTCCTTACATAACCGAAAAGGAAGGGGAATATAGGTATTTAACTATATTCAAGGATACTCACCATTATTGGAGACGGCGATTAACGTTAGTCCCAGCAGGAACCAAATGGTTAGCCGCCCCATAATAATCAAAACAACAAATTATCCTCGAGTTTCCAGCGTGGTTAGCACTTTAGCCACGTCATAAATTCTCCTTGCAAGTTTTCCGTAATTATGAATAATTAGGGAAAATTAGAATTAACACTTTTTCTCGTATTCTGCATATATATGCATCCGCTATATATGCGCTCGTTTAAATGCACTAAATGAAAAGAGTGAAAACCAATGGTTATTTAAGGCCAGAAAGCCGATGGATAAATTTTGCAGATAGGATAGGTATAGAATATATGGTATTTGGTATTGGGAGTCTGGTGTTTATATATAGGAAGAGGTATCGGAATAAATATTTAATTAGGATCGCACAAATTTTGTCACAGTTTCAGTGGGTTTCCAATTTTGCACTTGTTCGTTATTTCATTCACTTTGCAGATCGATTTATTATTTATTATAATCAATATTGATATATTTTTTATTGGTTATTATTCGCGCTGCCTTCAGCAAAATTTAACCAACAATCGTCGGCTGGGTAATCCTTAGTGTCCCTTTCGACGATTGTTAGCTAAATAATTTGCTTATTTCTGGCCGTCGTGGTCGTCGTCGTTTTGGTCGTCTGTGCACGTCGTGTGCGTGTCGTTTTTTGAACAGGGCAGCTCGAATTTTCCCAACACCTATCACATCTATTTTCTATCTGGTATCTGGTATGAAAGGAGGCAAATGAAAATTCGGTGCGCCGTACACGAGTATACGAGACGATCTCTCCCGGTCCAAAACCAATTCGTAACTCAACATGCATATACCATGAATTTACCTTGTGACCGCGAAAATTATTCGATTTTGATATTTTCGTAGCACGAATTTTTGTCAAAAGCACACACAGAGTTGAGTGAGTGAGTGGGTTTTCTTCGCCTAATGCTCTTTCTATGTTTTCCGATTCCATTTTCTTTTTATTTTTATTTCTATTTCATTTTTCCCTCTCGCCGGGTGGCGCTCTCTGCTGGGATTTTGGGAACATCCCGGCGGATTCTTGGGGATAAGCCTATGGGAAATTAATAGCTCTTGAGGGTTGGAAAATATTTTGAAAAATATCTAAATATTTTTTACTCTGACGAAGATCTCTTTTTGATTGATTAGATATTTCCTTTGCACTAGATCACTTTCTCTCTCGGCACTTTCGTTTTGGAAGATGGTTTAATTATAGACAATGCGGTGCTCATTCCGCATATTATTACTCAGAGCATCTTTTGAGCCAAAAACAAATATTTCGAAATCAAGATTTTGGCCTCTTTGCGATTTGTTTCGTGTCACAAATGCTTAGGTTCCATTTCCCTCAGGCTCTCCGCACACGAGTTGAGATTATGAAAATCAAATGTTAAGGATTGAAACGGTACACACACATTTCGCTGTAGCATTTATCATTGCTCGTTCATATGGTTGATTGCACGAACAGCTGTTCGTTGTTCCAAGGCTACCATCCTCGGTGCACCTCACCTCATCTCACCCCATCTCATCTCAGCTCGCCTCGCCGCGGACAAGTGAAAATCTGTCCCAAGTCATTGCGTTTATTAGCTTAATTAGAATTGGCAAATACTCGTCCAAAAATATTGTGCAGGGCAGGGAGCATTACGTATACGTAAGCTTATGTAAGACACGCTCCGCCCCATCACGAATTGTTTTATTCTCGAAAACAAAACGATTGCTCACACCTCCATTGAACGGCTCATTTAGCTCTTGGTTTATTCGACTTTAAAATCATATTTATTTTTATTGTTTTCGTCTCGTCTGGTTATCCTAAGATATACCCCCAAGATGCCATTAAATTAAAATACTTAATCATCTAGTTCTAAGTTTAAATAAAGATTTACCCATCCTATGCTAGGGCTTGAGTTTTTTAAATAATTTAAAAATATATATTTTGGGACAGTTAGTGGGCCTCGTTGCCCTTCTGCTTCTTCTTCATGCGGGTGCAGTAGTACCGATCGCTATTCTCGATCCAATCGCAGACATTCAGAACGGTGTGGAAAGCGGTTCCCTCTTTGCATTCGAATTCCACGGGTTTGCCATGGACACATCGGTAGTACTGGAGGAGAAGGGGAAAATATTAGTACTACATAAATTTATAAATATTTTTTTAAAATTTTGTTATCTATTTAAGAACCCAGATCATCCACATTAGTTTAATTCACAGTATTAGGAACACTCAGTCCCCATAAAGTATGCAATGCTTATCCGATTAGATTGACTAGACCCACATATCTTATAGGGTACTTATTTTAGACTAACCTTTCGGCAGTTGGGATGTGGAACAAAGTCACGGTTGGTACAATCGATTTCGCTGGGATCAAACTGGGGTCCTGCTGGCTGTTCGGGTTCTGCAGGTTCAGGATCAACTATTTCTTCGGGCTCCTCAGTGCTTTTTTCCGGAGCAGGAGTGGTTGTGGTTGTCGTGGTGGTCGTCGTCTTCTTGGGCTTTTTGGGTTTCTGGGAGATAAGTAATAAATATAAAAATTTTAAAAATTCTAATAAATTATTTTTAGTAATAATAGCTTTTACCTTTGTGGTTGGCTTTTGAGTGCTAGTACCAGCAGTTGGCACAGGCACAGCAGTTGGGCTCATCGGACTTGAAGTTGGTTTGGGCTTTGGCTTTGGCCTTTTGGTGGTACTCATTGTTGGTTGCGTTTGCACCAATGTAGCCTCATCCGGATTTGGTGGGGTTGCTGGAGGCTTTGCCCACTCAGGCTGAAAAGGAAATACATCTCAGGATTACATAAGTATTCCAAAATTATAGAAATCCTACTCACCCTTGGTGTAGTTTCCCTTGTTGGTTCCGGAACACGATAGTTCTTCATGTTGTCGTAGAGTATCTGCATTAAACCGTTCTTCTTGCCGCACAGTCCATGGAAGTCATCCATATCGATGGCCCAGGTCATGGCCCCAGCATAGCCACGCTGCTTGATATAGTCCATCTTGATCTGGACCGACGCCTCGTTCTCGTAGCCCACCCACTGGGTGTCCTTGTAGGTGTAGGGCACCATTCCCGCGTCGTCCCATTCCACAGTCCATCCCTTGGACTTGTCCATCACCTCGGTGCAGATCTCGTAGTAGGCCAGGAAGCCGCTGGCATTCGTGTAGGGACCCGGAGCTCCGCCGCCCGCCTCCTTGTTGATGTAGGTGCCCATGTTGTAGTTCTTGTTCGAGCTGCTCAGCGTGAAGGTGCGGCCGTAGAAGGGGATGCCCACCACCAGCTTGTTGGCCGGACAGCCCATCTCCTCCCACAAGGCGAGGCCGTCGTTCTTGAATGGCGACGCTAATTAGTTTGGCACCAGCATCAGCAGCCCATCCTCCCCGGTGCCCCATCACCATTCCCAACCCCAGTCCCAACGGGCTTTTATTAATACATCACTTACCACATTCAGGCGCTCGTAGGCGTATTGGTCGTGCTTTCGCTTGTAGAGCGGACTGTGAACGTCAGCGAATCCGGCCCAATTTCCTCGCAGGTCATAGGTCATGGCATGAATGGCATCTAGCGATCTGCAAAGTTCAAATTGATATTAAAATAAATTCTTGGGTAAATATTACATTTAAATTTTAAATTAAAGTCTCCCAAATTTCAAAACTTTTATTTAAAAAAATAATTTAAATTTTTAATAATACTATTTAAGTCTGGAAACTAGAAGGAAGAATAGTTGTACCTACTTGGTTATATTTTCCTAGTTAGGGCTAGTACTCAACCCAACAAAAAGTCGTCCAAAACAAAAACTTCATATGAAACAAAATTTTTTGACGTTGTTTTTCATATAAAGTTTTTTGTTTTGGACGACTTTTTGTTGGGTTGAGTACTAAGCCTTAATTAAAAAAAGGTTTAGTAATATTTTTAACCTTACTCCCTTTAAAACTATCGTCTAGAATATAGAAAAATTTCTTCAACTTACTCGCACAATTCCGGAACGTGGTATCCCTCCTGTAAGCGGAACTTAGCCACCGGCACCGCCATGGTGATTTCCCATCCTCGACCCTCGCGATCGAAGGCGCGTCGCAGTTCCTGAACGAAGTAGAGGAACTTGTCCTTGTCCGAAAAGGAGCCACCGCGATCCGTGGCCCCAGGATATTCCCAATCCAAGTCGAAACCATCGAAATTGTACTGCTTCATGAAGCTAACCACACTGCGTATGAAACTCTGTCGCCGCTCTCGAACCGCCACCATTTTTGAGTACTTAGAGCCACCTTCCGCCCAGCCACCCACTGCTACCTCCAATTTTACTTTGGGATGGGTCTTTTTCAATTCGGTAAACTTGCTGAAGCCCCCTTGGTCGACATCCAAATCGGGATCGATTACGAGGACATCCCAGTTCTTGTCGCTAACACCGATAAAGGAGTAAATGATATGAGTGCACAGATCGGTGGGCACATCCTCCAAACCATATCGACCGATGCCAGGTCTATAAACAGCCCAGTTGCTGAAGTAGCAGACAATTCGAGAGGGCTGATCTGCGGCCAAAGTGGCAGCTGGCCAAAAAGAGAGCACTCCCAGGAGCAGGAGCGCCAAATGATGCACTTTATAGGATGGGAAATAATAAAGATTAATTAATAGGTATTTAAAATAATACAACTTAATAATGTATTCTAATATTATTTCCCCAAAAGCCTTTAAAATCCTTCAAATTCCACACCTTAAAAGTTAAACATTGTTTATTTTTAAGCACACCATTATATTATTTTTGTAAGACCCGAGACTTCTTAGCCATCTTCCCGATTGTTTGGCTTTTTCTCTGTGTTTTTTTTTATTTTTAAGAATCGTAAAAGCCTCTCCCGTTCCCAGTAAAGACTTGTTTTTCGAGATCGACGTGACATGCATCCATAATTGAATGTAGTGCGAGTCTCTTATCGTTCCACTGTTAGGGTTTCGTATTTATGGAACAGCTAAGGTTGTGTGTCCATAATGCTGCACGCCTCAAGTTCGTTCACCGATTTGCACTTTGTATGCACGGTCAGGCTTACCCATTTCTTAATGCTCCTCCACAAAGCGAACTGAATATATGAATATACCGAAAATCGGGGGGAATCTCGAGAGTTCTGCGTGCGACGCGCGTTTGGCGTCAAATGACAGTCGAGCTCTCGATCAGCTCGACTTTTATAGTGGGAGGCTTGGGTCTCGAAATACTCTTTTTTTGCAGTCCGGTTCTTGGATCGGATTGCGCCTTTGTTCCTGCGTAGAGTGCGTGAGAGGTGCGAATCTCCGAAGAATCGCAACATTTTGGGGGAATGGTTGAGGAAGGTGGGAGTTGGAGGAAGGGGCTTTTGTTTTGCTCTGCCGACTGACTGTGCTCATTTCCAGATCGGTTTAGCTTGTTATCTCGTCTTGCCACTTTCTTTCCGATTGTTTTGCATTCGCATTTCAGTTTACTGTCACCCCCCGCCGTTGTTTATGCTCTAGAATTACCATATATAAGTCGGGCAGGGCCCTAAAAAAGATCCCTGTAAGTGGCCTGGATAATGTTACGCTGTGCGCATCCAGGCTTCGCTGGCCGATTATAATGGTAATGGATAGATAACTTGTGGTTTTCGTTTTGGTTTTGGTAGCAACTTTAATGTCACTTTAAAGACGTAAAATAGAATCGAGGCTTAAGTCTAGGGCGAAGTGCCAATGCGAATGTCGATGGCCAGGGGGGCTTCTTCGGTGCTGGAAGGGATGGGAGCTAAAGTGGTGGAGGTCGAGGTGGAGGTGGTGGAGGTGGTGGAGGTGGTGGGGGTGGTTGAGGATGGAGTAATCGGCGCTGCGGGTGGTGGAGCTACACTGCTTGAGCTGGGCCGTCTCGGTGCCACTTGAGATCCTCCTTTGTCACCTGAAGGAAACGATTGCTTTTATAATTTCTTGAATCTTAATGGATTTATAAATAAAACAGAGTGTCCTATTGTAACTATTCGAAAAATGTTTGCTTTTCTCCCTGATCTAAAGAATTTATAAATAAAATGATTTTTTTTAACGAAATAGAGCATCTTAAAATGGTATTCATATTTAAAGCAATGACATTTTAAATATCACTTTGTGTAAGTTATTCTTAAAATTTCTTAAGAATTCATTTTTGTTTTACTTTAACGTTCCGGAATAATTCTAAAGCGCATTAAAAAAGTTTTCTTTGTGAGTAAGTGTTCGGGTAAATATTAAACAATCGTATTAACCAACAACAGAGAAATGTTTATCCAAAAACAAGAACGAAAAAACTTGGTTATCAAAAAGATAGTGATAAAAATCTGTTGACTAACACGAACAATAAATAGGTAAAAATTATTTATCTCACTTTTGACAAAAAATGTATAATAAATATGTTCTTTCCCTTATTTCCATTTTTAAAAAACAAATGGACTCAAAATTTACAAGCACATAAACTTGTGTGATATTTAACAATCACTTTAAGCCTAAACAAAGATAGTTATTAGACTGCCTAATAAATTTTCCGAGTACGCAAAGCTCACCTTTAAATGGCTCCAATTCCGCTTTAAAGGGTCGCTGGTGCTCCTCGTATTCGGGGGCTCCAAAGGCATTCGGAAAGGGTTCGAAGCCATGCGGCTCGAATCTGTGGTGACCATGGGGTGGAGGCGGACCATGTGGTGGATGCTCGAACCCAAAACCAAATCCGCCGGGGTGATGGCAGTCGGGACCCGGAGAGTGGTGATCCCAGTGCCGCTTGTGGTGGCTGTGCCCGTGGTAATTGCCGTCCCCATGATGGCGACGATGCCGATTGTGCTGGACGTGGACCTGGCTAAAAACGGGCGCCGACTCCTCGGCAAATAAATCTTGGCTGGTGAAGGCACTGAAAACGGGAGCACAGAGAAAAAACAACAAAAAAGAACCAGGTGAAGGAAGCAAAATACGAGCTATACAGATACGGATACTGACGCATTCTCGATTCCTGGGAACGGAGCAGCCTGGAGCTGCAAACTCTGCGAGCTTATCACGGCGAACAGCGCCAGCTGTGTGAAATATATGGGATTGAAATGGGGTTGGATTGGGAGTTGCGTTGGGAATTTACGGGCTCTGGACTTACACGGGCGGGAACTGAGGCTAACATACTGTTTGTTGTTGCTACTCGGAATCCCTTGGAACAGTTTATCTTCCTTGAACGTTTCGCTTGAACCTCGCTCTTTAGCCGCACAAAATCGACTAAATCTTGCGCGGCGACTCACTTTATTCCGCACAATTAATACTTGGACAATGTCGCATGTCGGGGTTTTTATCTGCTGCTCCCTTACTCACTCAGATTTTGAGTTGTTTTTGTGCGCATCATCGGCGCTCAACGCCATAAACCTGATCGGTTTATGATAATTCAGGTTTTTCATACCCAATACCCATTTACATACGAGGCTACATTCATACACATAGGTCGGTTGTCTTTTGAGCGTATTGTAATTAGCCGATGTTGGTCCGGAATAGCCGCAAACGTACTTTAATTGCCAGTTAATGTGACAAAGTGTTGTTAATTTTGCGGTCGCTGAATTGAACCCCATTGAGAGAGGTTGTGCTGCAGTGCGAAAATGTCGCAGATTATCGTATTTGTCGCTAATTGTTAAGCAATACACTCTAAGAAATTATCGTGACGGAACTATGTTTAGTCATCAATCGACTTGGTGAGGGGAAATACAAATAATAATCGGTTTAAAAATGAAGACACCACATTTTAAAAGAAATACCAGTACTCTATTCAAACAATTTTTCTGAAGGTAAAATAAATTGTTTATTAAAAATCGAAAATTAATATATTATTTTTATAAAAAGAATGCGTTTTTGTAATTTACTTGAGTTTTGTATTACCTATTTCGGAATAAATTTGCTCATGATTAAAGATTGTCTTCAAATTCTTCAGTGTACCCTGAATAACCAATCTAATAGTGACAGAAACAACAGTCACGATTATGTTAATGTGATATCGGGGCTGTGATAAGGCTGCTTTTAGAAAGTTATCGAATGCTCCACATTTCACCCAGTATGGCTATCTTAACGCCCACACACTTCCGCCGCGCCAACCTGTACGTCGATTTCTGGGTCTATTTGTGATGCCAGCGGCGTCGGCCCAGAATACAATACAAAATGAAAATATTTTTAATGTTGAGCTGTCAGCGCCTGGACTCATTGTGATTCATGACGACGGGGAATCGGCCCCTTAACATTGATCTTGAATTTAGCCGGCAATTGGGACTGAGATTCGTCATAAGGCTGGGCAGTAAGTGACCAGTCGTCAGTCGTCGAGTTCCTGTTCCGTAAAACCTTCGTATATACTATAGTAAGTAGCTGTTACAATGGAAACAAAGGCGCATTTGAATTTTCAACTATAATCTTTATTGATAACATTTCTCGTTCGCAGTTTATCGTCTTCAACTCTTATCATATTATGACGTACAGTTAATATGTATATGTTTATGTATATCTAATATATATGCAATAAATATTTGTTGAGTGTGTTTTTTTTGTTTTCTTAGATGTTTTCTCCCTCTCTACTTTCGGTATCTGGGGAGTATGCGTGCTTTTATGCCTGGTGCAGTAGCAATTTTAAGCCGACAATCTACATAGCCGACAGTTTGTCTTCTATTTATATACTTTGACTTTGCCTTAACTTTTCTGTGGGTGCGCAAACTTAGGGGAAAACTTGAGAGCAAATAATTTACATATACACATCCATATAGCACCGCGAAATGTACAAACAACTTGTGGAATCATTGGGAACTTAGCGATAATGATAAAAAGAACCTTAAACCATACGTAGCAAATAGATAATAACAACTAAAAACTAAGAACTTAAAATAGATTTTTGTACAATTTTGCAGGGATCGTTTCTCATATAGATTCTCCTCTCTATAAACATTTTCTCGTCGTTGTTCTTGTGGGTTAGTACTATACGATTATTTTTCTGTATGTATAATTGAGAATAGAGCTATGCGATTTCAATAACTTTTAAAGTTTCCATAGACATTAAATTCAACCAGCGATTGCGTATAATTTTATCCATTGACTTGTATTGCAATTTTGTTTAAAAACATTCATCAACATGATCGAATACTTGATTTCAACCGTTTCCCTTTAATTGCCCGGCTAATTGACCTACATTTAAATAATTATGCGTACGTTTGTGTATATTATAGCATTATGCTCGTTTAAATATGTATAGCTTTAAATTAATATATGCATGTCGTAATTCAGCGTTGCCTTTTATATGTTCTCGTTTAAATACAATTGAATTATATTTCCTCAGTTGTGTATTTATCTTAGTCCATTATTAATAATTGCGATAGGTACGTTTGGGAAAAGTTGCAAAGGTTCGAAGTGCTTTGAGTGCGCTGTGATTTCTGATTTCTGATATTTGATTTCTGTGAGTTCTGCCAGAGTTACGATTTCCGTTCTACAGGATTGATGGTATATCGGGTTCGGACTAGAGTCCCTAACTAACGGTTTGATGCCACTGCTGTTGATATTCTGCTGACTGATCTTAAAAACTTGTTCATATCAAATGCATTAATATTGGCTCCAAAAGTGGTTCAATTAATGTAACTGCTTGTTGGTTGGTTGGTTTCTTCTTGGTTTGCTCCTTTGTAGAGAAAATGCGCTACTCTCGAAAAGTCCGTTACAAAAGTCTTTAAAGTTATTGTATTAGTTGTCGTGAATAAGTTTTGACCTGCCCCTCTACGTTGTAAGCCCTTCAGGAACGTATTTGATTCGCCTCAACTCCGATTTAAATCGTACATAATTGCTGATCCTATGCGGATAGCGATTTTCCTACTGTTCAAGAACGCTCGCTAATTGTGTGTAATTGATATCGTTTAAATGACTTGTAACACGCTTACAGTGATATGTTGAATCTTTGATTTCCATATTGTATATGTTGTATATATATAATAATATGCTTAGTATCATTTACGCAATAACAATCGCCTCGCCAAAATTCGTTAATTTCCCCCTCTCTCTCTCGCTGACTTTCGATTATTTCCGTAGTCCTTGTTCAACAGATACATTTATAACTCCCCTAAAACTCAGTCACATTTAAGAATTGATACGATTTTTTGTTTCGGTTAAAATTGTTAGCAAATTTCCTAGTTTGATTCTCAAGATAAATGCAGCGGATATTGTGCCTGAATAGTATATATATATTCGCCAATCGGAGTTAGTTTGATTAGTTGTAGGTCGACGTTGTCGTTTAGCTGTAAAAATTGTCGCGTTGCTGGAATAACGGCAGTGGTTCACTTGGTGACTCCGATCGGTGTTCGTCATCTTGATTCGATCTCTCGGCCGCCTTCGACATGGCTTTCTCTGTGGGTTGACAAAAAGGGCGAAAAGTTAGTTCGGCAAGTTGGAAATGTGGATTTTCTTAGACCAAAAACCTTCCCAAGCGTGCTGTAAAAGTTTGTAGTATAAAAAAAGTACACCGATAACCGTTTGGAAGTATATATCGTGTGTGTTTGGTTTGGGTTCTTCTTTTTTTTAGCTTTTTTGATGGCTTTGTGTGTTTGTTGCTACTCCTGTTTTCTTGAGCTTTGAGCTTATACTTACTCGATTTATCGCTTCTTGACTCTTTTGGACAACTTTCATACGCATGTTAGGCAGTGCAGAAATTTAGTTTGGAAACTAAGCAATTTGCATGAAATTGGTTTTCAAAACTTTCGCAAACATTTCTAGTTAAATTTGATTTTTCTCAAAACTGACATTTCGTTTTTTAAATTTTTAGAAAATACAACAGATTTCTGTGTATTAAAATTAATAAAACGTGATAGCCCTAAATCAAAAATGTTTAATATAAATATTTTAATATGAAGCTAATTTGTTATCTTTAAGGAAATATTTAAATTTATTTATTATATTTCGGCCAGTAGATTAATATTTCTAACCATTTTCTTTCCTAATATTCCAATAGATTTGCACTTTGGTGAAAACATTAAATTCTGTGCTTGTTTTTGGTGAGTAGTGTGTAATTTTTCTGAATTTTGAGTGTTTGGTAAGTTTTGCTTGTGTGTGGTTAGGTGGTTTAGTTTTAAAGTGCATTCATCATTTATAGCATTAAGTCTACAATTATATTTATGGCGTGCAGGTTGATTAATTTGGCCAATATTTTAATTCTAAGCTAAGCAGAGTTTTTGGGCGTGATTAAATATGGAATGCAAATGGCCTGGAAGCTACAATATACTCGTATATTGTTTATTTATGAATATCGGTATAATCGAAATGTGTACAAACCTGGACTTACGCAATCGTATATCTGTTGTTGTTGTTCTTGTGCTTGTTGTTGTTGTTGTACTTGTTCTTGTTGCTATTACGTTGCTGTTTATTCTTGTTGTCGTTTTTGAATATTTTTTGTTGTATTTTTAGTATTTCTTGTTTGTGAATTGTTGCGTTTTTAGTTTGAAGTGAGTTCTTTGGGTGAGTTTAGCATGCTGTAAGACTCAACTTCGCGTGGTTTCTTGTTTGCTGTTATTGCTGTAGTTACTGTATACTTAGGTGTACTGTATACTAGGTATGCATATGTTTGGTATGTTTCGGACAACAAATTCTTTTTATCGCGAATCGTGATGCGAACCCTCTCTCAGCCAATCGATTGGCAAAACACAACGTGAACAAAAATTAAATGCAATGCAAAAGGTAAACACAAAAGGTGAACAGAAACAACTCGACAGGCTACTTGCGGATTAGTTGTGACTAGTGGGATTTCCTAGAAAAATATGCAAAACAAACAAATAAACATGTAAATTGAAACGAATGCAAATGTAAAAATTATACAATTATAATGGGTGTAAATAATAATAAATAGGTTTAAAGTATGTGTTAGTTTTATAGTAAATATTTGTATAATAATCTCTTTTCTTTGGGCCTTAAAACCTATTTTATCTGTAATCTTTTGTAAAGTAAAAAATCAACCATTAAATAAAAATAAAACTTTATGGAATTCAGAACAACACTATTTCGAGATATTTAAATTTAAAGCTGCTCAGAACTCCCAGCTTGATATGTTTTGTGGGTCGGCTAACACGGCGTATGCGCAATATGCGGAATATGCAATCTATCTGAAGTTCATAGAACTCTCATCGATGCTTACTTAATTTATGATTAATTATACATAAACTGGTCGGGTGCAGATGCGAATGCGAATGCATGAGAGGGCAATGTGGGCCACAGGTTTTGAAATGTATGATTGACTGTTGAAAGTGTCTGAATATTGAAATTGAATGTGGTGTGGGTGGGTGGAAGTGGTGAATGTATGTACTTGTGAGAAGGGGTTATGAAGTTGACGAACGACGCCGGTGACTGGCACGCAATGAGGTGGGGTCATGATCTTAGAGTTCTTATTCGAACGGGGGATCTTAACGCTTTAGATTAGATGGTATGCATATGATATGTTTTATCATTAATCATCTAGAAATCAGAAAGAGTTGAAAGAAGATACATATATAGAGATTAGAAGAGCATAGAGTTGACAGTAGTTTGAAATGTGGGGATCTGCTGGCATGGTTAGATTACACTGAATATATACATATAGATAGATAACTCAGGGGTCTATATGTTTGATTTTGAGAGAGCATATTAGTAAGAACATAAACAAGAAACATAAACTCAACTTGCAAGGCATTGCGTATACATTTGAACTGGGATTTGTTTTTCTCTTTTTGGGTTATCGATTGGAACTTAACACAAAGGTAAACTGCTGGTAGGAGACCTAAATGTTATCGAGGTGAACTGTACTTACCGGCCACAATCTTGCTGACCTGCATCACCTGCTGGGCGAGGATTTGATTGAGTTGCAGCAGGTGTTCGCGCTGCTTCTTCTCGGCGTTGATTTTGCTGGGCGGCAAACTTTCGTTTTCCTGTTTAAAATATAAAATAATATTTATTATTATAAATAATATATTCTAAGAAACCAGACTTACATTGCTGCTAAGCGGCGCCTCGGACAACATTTTCTTGATGGACTCGACCTTCTCCTGACGACGCTTCTTCTCCTCCGGCGAAAGTTCGGGCGTCTATGGGGTTTATCATTAGTTAAATGTTAATATATATAAATAATTATTTATTTTCCACTCACTGTTTCTGGTATGTAACGCTCGGGTATGACTATTTTGTTGGGTGCCAGCAGCAAGTTGTCTATGGTATTCTCCGAAATCTTCTCACCCTGTCCCAAGGCAGAACGCACCACATCGGGGGCATTCATGCGAGGTCTTAGGGCCACCTCCATGTCCAGATCATCGCGAGCTCGCCAGTTGGTGTTCTTTAGAAATTAATAAATATAATATAAATATTTTTTATAATTTAATTTTCCTTACATTTCGATTCATATCGTTCTCGGCCTGCACCTTCTCCATGGCCTTCTGGTTGACATTATTCGGCGCCGTGTAGTGCCGCCTCTTCTCCCTGGGAACTGCCCTTCGGTGCTTGTGATGCGGCGGCACCTTCTCCACCACCTTTTCGGTGTCCTCCGAAGCCGAACCGGCGGACATTTCGTTGATAATCTGGCGGGCAGCCACGCTCTGGAACACCGGCTCCGGACTGATGTCCGTGAGGCTCTTATTGAGGCTCTGCAGGGAGTCCGTCTTGGTGCGCAGGGCCACGCGGGCACTGTCCCTCGAGGGATTCACCTGCTGCTGCAGCTGCTTGGCGAAATAGGCATTGGCCAGGGGATTCAGGTGTTCCCTTTGCTCCCTCTGATGATGATGATGGTGGTGTCCATTGCTCTGCGGTGCCGGTGGCGGTGGCGGCTGATGCTCGTAGTTGCTGTTCCTATCGTAATCGTAGCCATTGTTGTAGTGATGACCATTCGCCTGCTGCTTGCCGTTCAGGTGACGACTGTGCCGCTGCTTCGGGGGCTCACTGTAGTTGCGTGGCAGCGACTTGGAGCGACTCTGGTGGCCGTGGCCATTGCTCATTTGCTCCTCCAAGTTCTGGGCGTAGAGCTGCTGCTGCTGGGCATACTGCTCCTCCTCGAGCACCTGATCCAGATTCTGAATGGAGCTGCTCAGACCGCGTTCACTGCGATCCCGATTCCGCCGCTCCGATTCGCGCTTCACAATCCTCACCGTCTTGATCTCGGGCTTCTCCAGGCCAATGGCAAAGGGATTGCTGTCCAGGAACCCGTCGCTGTCCACACCGCTCATCTCGAGGGCATCGCTGCTGCCGCCTCCATTGTACCGATTGTAGTCACTCAACTTGTTGGCCGAGCTATTCGTGTCCACATAGAGGGGCGTGGATAGGTTCAGCGTGGAGTCATTCAACTGCTGTCGGCTGCCGCATCGCAACATATTGGCATCGAGATCGGTTTCCGTCCAACTGGTGGAGTTGCTGCGCTTCTTGAGGCTGCCATTGGTGGAGCCACCACCGTTCATCTCCTTGTTCCCGATCTCCTGATACAACCTGGTCGAGTTCTCCGTCAGTTGGCGCACCGCCGAGCTGAGTTCGTGCCGCTGCCTCTGCATATCGCCCACCAGGGATTGCACCCGCTCCAATTCGGAGGCCAAAACGGCGGCAGTTTGATCCCCGTTGATGTGCTGGCCATCGCCGTTCATTCCACCATGGCTGGCTGCTCCCCGGGTGGCCTGCACCTTTTGGCGGAGGAGCAGGAGCTCCTGCTCCAGCCGAGCATTGCCCGCCACTGTCTGCTCGAGTTTCTGCAAGGTAGGATTAGGGTTTAATTGGTGGGTTCTCTGGGTTGCGGGCAATGGCACATGCAGCAGAGGCCACAAACACGAGAAGTCTTTTGCATTAATCCTATAAGTTGAGCTTTAGTTTTAGAGTTTTCGTACTTCTGGTTATGAAAAAATATTATATTAATTTAATTTTAGTTTTAAGAGCTTTATCTAAAATATTGCTCTACGTTTTTAAACTCTGAATCAACTTAAAATATATATATTTACTTTTAAGTATATACTCAATAACTTATTTTTAGTTTTTACTGCAACTATAGTCAACAGTAAGCAATGACGAAAAATTATAAAAAACTATTAATCGCTCTGGTTTGAAATTAAATATGAACTTTACCCTTTTTACCTATCCTATCCATTTTATTTAATGAGGAAAACCTAGGTTTGCTCAAATCTCGCTGTATCCTGTATCTAGTTAAATCCTTTTAAAATTAGTTTTTGGTTAGTTACATAAGCGACATGCGAAGCTCAAGCAGACAAATAACACGCAGCTGTGGACACGAAATGCAAAAAACTTCTACTAGGCACCTTGGCTACCTTTGAGTTCTCGGCCAGCAGCTGATGGACCCGCGACAACTCGCGCTCCAGGATGTGCTGCTGCTTCTTGGCCGCCTCCATGGCCATGGGCGTGGCATTGTTGTCGTGAATGCGGGCCCTCAATCCTCCCAAGGCTCGCTCGAGGTCCTCCTTGTCGCGCTGCAGACTCTGCAGCGTGCCGGACTCCTCCTGCAACAGCTGATCGAGTTGGTAGAGCTCACGCACCTTGGCCTGAAAGTCATATAATTATTACAAATTAATCAAATTAATTATTAAAATATTTTTAAGTAAACCCACCTGCAACTCCGCCTGATTGGGACTGAGTCGCTCCCACTGCTGCTGCTCCCACTGCTGCTGCTCCTCCTGCAGCATTTGACGCTCCTGCATCCGCTGGTTGAACTCCAGGCGGTCCAGAGTGGCCGGCTGAACCCTGCCATTTGCATCGTTGCGATACAGCGATCCCAGCTTGACCATGTTGTCCACCAGATTGACCAGCGGCTTGCTCTTCTCATAGTGCCGCTCCAGGTCCAAGAGGTGCTGCTTCAAGTAGTCCAATCGCTGGATGCTCTCGGCTCTGGTCAAACCCTCGGCACTGCGCAGGCGATTCTGTGGAGGATTTCGTATATAAATAGTTAGTTTTTTGGATATATAAAGTTATTCTTTTTAATTTAAAAGTTAGATAGACAAAGTATAGAATTAGTCACAGAACCAGCACCAGAAGTTAGCCAAAACCGCCCAACGAGAAACATAGAAGTCTAGAGTCTATCCACCTGCACATCGTGAATATCGCTGCAGCACTGCTCGATGGCCCTGGCAGTCTGGCTGCTCTGCCTCCTCAGCTGGATCAGCAGGAGGACCAGCTCCTCGTGGGTGCGACTCAGCAAATCCCCGGCCGACACATCCAGGTTCTGTGGGTTGCGTAAATATGTTTAGGGTTTGGTTCTAGCCGTCCCTCAAATATCTTTACTATTATCATTCAGATACCTTTTAAAATCTTTTAAGCTAATTTTGGAGAATTTTTCACTTTTACAATCTTTTTACTATATTCCTTTAAATAATTTGTGTTTTGTATTGTATAAATGTTTAATTTTTTATTTCTCAATCAAAAATAAATAGACGCTTGTTATTCTTGTTATTAATTTTTAACGAATTATTTATATTATATCCTTTGGCTTTTTATATTTTTGTTCCCCAGCTTTCATTCAAATTGAAATGCAACTATTTCTCTATTATTACCGTATATTTTGGAACATAGCGACACACAGCTAAAATTAAAGTGTGAAGCTTTTATTTGCCGTCACATTTTAGAAAATAGGTAATAATGTTTGATTTTAATTTACCGAGTTTTTTGTAACCAACGATTGATATATAATATTTCTGTGACCTAAATCAACCAAATAAAACATTTAATATCGTTTAAAATTCGTGATTGCATCCTTTTAAAAGTGAGTTTCAAATGTCAAGTATGGGAAATATTCCAAAAATTCGATTAAGTTGCTACCCTCGAGGGACAGACTACTCACCCTGATCTGGCTGCTTGTCTCGCGTTCGAGCATATCGATTTCCGCCCTACTTCCGGTGCGCCGCATCCGGAACTGTGGGTGATTTTGGGGCGTGGACGTGGCCAGGCCACCGGATCCGTTTCCGGCATAGAGTCCGCGATCCGTGAGCACCGTATTCTTGGCGTACTTGGTCTCTGCCGCTCCGCCGTAGTAGGGAGCAAAGGCGGACTCCTGCTGGATGTCCGAGGGATCCGGCTTCACCGTCAGATTTCCGACGGGCAGATTGTTCACATTGCGCACGGATATGGAGGCTACAAGGTCATAGAGAGGGGGATTAGGAAAAAGTATTTAGTATTTATTTAGTCTAGGATAGGCGGGCTTAGAATATGTAGTTTCAATGCGTGCGCGAAATATTTAGAAAAGCAATCAGTAATCGGTTAGCAAATGGCCGGAATTAATTTAATTTGGCTTATAATTTGTGGCTCTGTTTTTTGATTTATTCTTTTTTTCTACGGGTGGGTATGGTAATATCTCTGCAGATTATATATATTTTATTTCTATCTGCAGCTGCTGGCTCCTACAATTTGCTATTTGCAACTGCCCCGAAAAAGTATCTATCTATGGATTTGTTCAACTTTACAAATGGGTGTGCTTGGGTGAGATTTCTGTGAGTGAATAAGTGAGTGAGTGATTGTGTTTTTGCGTATATATACAAGCGATTCAATGACTTAATGAGATAAGTGGGGAATTGGCTGGGATTGGATGGGATAAATAAATATATATATAAGTTTGCTTACCAGTTGATTAATTAAACAAAACAAGACAACACACAACAACAATGACAACAACAACAACGACAACAGTGACAGTCAACAAAACAAATAGAGCACTATCTAAACTCTAAGCTGGGGGGTTACGGCAAAACATGATGGGCAAACAGAGCAATAATAAAATAACTCTTGGTGTGCAAACCAAAAATGGTCAAATGGCAAAACGGAAGGCTAAATTGAAACTACGGAAAGTGTTGCATATTTTTAGGAGCTGGGGGCCTTGGTTTTTCAGTGGTTGTTGTTCGCTCTCGACTTTTTCCCCGCCATCGCCATGGGATTTCCATTGGCATCGTCCATGGAACTGGTGTTCAGCTGCTGGACAATGGAGCGCACACTGCTGGTGAGGGGCATGTGGGCAGGAGATGCAGCTCCTCCGCCTCCTCCTGTGGTCTTCATTAGCCCACTGGACATGGCATCCCACTGGCGAATGGTCTCGCGATCCAGCTCGTTGGATTTGTGGGACAAGTTCGAGGCCGTCTCCTCGCGCAGCACCTCGTAGACATCGGAATCCGTTTGGTCCTGGCCCAAAAGCGAGGAGGAGGCTGCCATGGAGTTGTCCAAAAGCTGGACATACACATCATGCTCATTGGAGATGGGATGTGGATGCGATTGTCGCGGCTTCTGGCTGTCATTCACATAGGTCACCTCGCGACTTAGCTTCGCCTTGGGCGTACTCGAAATAAGAGGAGGAGCTGCCGTTGTCGCCGTAATCCTGTCCAGATCGTCCAGGGATCTCGCATGCCGCTGGGAAACGCGACGCAAACTCTCGCGCCACAGGGCATCCTCCTCCCAGAGCAGCTCGCCACCTAGAACTGAGAGGTTGGTTGGGACATTATTCGATGGCGGATCCTCCTGCTCATCCATCTTCTCCTCCTCCTCCTCCTTCTCCTCCTCCGAATCTTCACCAGCACCAACATCTCGGTTAGGGTTGCCTTCATCCGACGGGTTACGGCTACCACCAATCGCCTTTCGAGCGAGATTTGTGTTTTTAGTAGTTGTTGTGATATGATATGAATGGACCAGTGCACCACTACCTTCTCCTCCTCCTCCTCCACTGCTGCTGCTCTCCATCTCCACCAGCTTGAGATTCTTGTTGCTCAGCTTCTCGTTGTTGTCCTTCTGCCCGCTGTAGATGTTCTTGCTGTCGATGGCCTGATCCTTGTCCACCAGTGCGTCCACATTGAACCGATCGATGGGGTTGTGAATGTGGGCTATATTGAGACCATGGGCATGGATATCCCGCTGATTGTTCAGCGGCGGTGGAGCCGGCAACTCCGAGTAGTAGTAAGGAGCCGATTGGGTGGATATATTGCTGTTATTGCGACTGTGGATTATCCTTAGGGCAGCTGCCTCGCCGCCCAACTGCTGAATGGAGTCGGTGGAGGAGAGAAAGTGTATGTTGCCGTAGAAATGTTGCTCCTCGTCCTCCGTATTCCGGAATGTTTTCGGTGGCTTGATGAGATTGGTGAGGATGTCAGCTCCTGCCGCCGCATTGGCATCGTTCAGAAGGTGACTTGTTGGAGTAACCTGACCGGTCGACAAGTGCAGGTGACTCAGGTAGGTGTCCAGCTCGTGACTACTCAGTGTTTCCTCAAACTGCTCACTAAGCGACTCAATCTCACTGATGGACTCCTGGGACAGAGGTCTCCTCGATCGCTGGCGATCCAATTCCGAGTCCGATCTCTGTCGGAATTCCACAGACTCATTTTCACTGCTCAGGGGCAGGCTATTATTGCTGGTGACCCTCCTGCGATATAAATCGAGATCCGAGGAGGTACGCGAACCACTATTATCCGTCAGCTGGCAACTGTAGTTGGAATCGGAGAGGGTCCTGGCATGGTGCTGCTCCTGGGCCACCAGCAATCGCTGCGGGGTCATCCGCATCTTGGCAAAGTGATCGGGCAGCGAGAGACGACTGCTCTTTAGGGTGGGACTCGGAACCGCCTTGGGTAAATTCAGGGACGTATTGCTGGCATGCATCTTGGGCAGCTGCTCGAAGGAGAGATTCACCTTTCGCTTCACCGTATCGTAGTGCTCCGAGGAGAAGATCTCCTCCGTTTTTAGCTCCTCCATGGGCGGTGGTGAATCCGGAATGGGTGGTGGTGGCAATATCTCACTATCTGAACTCTCTGCATAGTTATTCATTGGCGTGGAGGCTCCCAGGTAATAAGAAGCTGGTCGGAAAGTATCCGACAGACTGAAACGAGATCTGGAGCGCAGCTTCTTGGCCTCCAGCTGCTGCCGGCTGCTCTCGTCATCCGCATCCGAACTATCGCTGGCCAAAGCCAACGCACTTTTGGCCGGCTTCAGGATATCCGGCATGTCCTTGCCCTGCCGCTTCTTGGTCTTCTTCTTCAGGGTTTCGCTGCCCGACTTCTTGCCCTTCTTCAGGGTGGAGCGACCCGAGGAGCAGTGGGCCTCCTCATTGGTGGCCGGTGGCGTGGGCTTAACTCCCGCCAGTTCCATGTAAACTGGCTCCTTGAAGGCACTCGAACTGCTGCTGGCCAGGCACATGATCTCATAGTTGCTCCGGCTGTCCTCGTCCTGAATGCCCTTGGTCATCTCCACATAGTGATTCTCCTCCTCCTCCGCCTCCACCATTCCACCTGCATAGGATTCATGGCTGCAGACGAGTGTGAGGACACCTGGCTGACCCAGTTCCACTTTCTTGGGCGTCATGGGCAGATAGTGACTCTCGTCGAACTGCTGGTCGGTGGGTGTGATGGGCTCGTTCATATATATCTGCTGCAGTTCCTTTTCCTCTGTGGGATCCTGGGACTCATCCTCATCTTGAGCCAGGGCCTCGTCTATATCATCATCTGTGTACTCCTCGCAGGCCGTGCTCTCATCTTCCTCATCGTCTGGCTCCTCTGATTCCTCCTTTTCAACTTTGCTTTCCTCAAATGAAACCTCCTCCTCTCCTGGCATGGATTTACTTTCCGCTGTGGGTGTCAGGTCCTCCTCCTCCTTTTCCTGCTGCTGCTGCTCCTGCTGCTGCTGCTCCTGCTGCTCCTTGAACAACTTGAGCTGCATCAGCATGGGCGTCTCCTCGGGATCGGTAATCGTTGCCCTGCTGTCAAGGGCTTTGCTTTCTGGCATGGGAATTGGTGGCTTGCCAAATTCCATGTTCTCGTAGTTGCTGACCAGCTTATTGTTGTACACAGGCACATAATTGGCATTCTGCGGCGACTTGGGGGCCGTTTTCTTTGGCAGAATGGGAACAGGGTCCTCCTGCTCCTCATGCTCCTGCTCCTTCTCCTCCTCCTCCTTGGGCAATTGCAATCTGAGCTTGGGACGCTCTTCCAGTTTTTTGGGTTGCACCTGAATAATGCGCGTTTTACTCGCCTCATGCACTTTCAAAATGGGCTTTAGTTGGAATTTTGCATTGCCAGGTGTTTTGGGTGTTGATGGTGTTTCGCTTGGTTTGGGACTCGGACTCAGACTCTCTAGACTTTGGATATTGCTAAGATTTGTTGTTGCTAACGCCGTTGTTGTTGTTGCCACTATTGTTTTTGCCTTTGTTTCTGCTTTTATCGCTGACCTTCCTGCCGTCGCACTTTTGTACATGTTATCATCCACAGTTACAGCTGCGATTCGTGCGTTTTGTTAATGTTTTTTGCGAGTTTTCGGTTTTCGTTATCGAGTTTTACAGCATTTACAAATTTTTTCGATTTTTTTTTAATCAAAGAGTTACCAAATTCAACGTATACACAACGAATTTATTATATGTAGGTATGGAAAAAGAAGAAATATAAAACATATTTGTATATCTTGCTGGTTTTTGGTATGTGTAATTAAAATCAATCAAATGGGTGGTCGATTGCGCTATGAGCCCAGATTGAGTTTGAGTTTTATTTGGTTTTTGGTTTTGGTTTATTTGTTGTTTTTGGGTTTTAGTGCGAAGTTTACAGCGGCATTTAGTAGTGGAAATACCAAGCACCCGGTTGTCATGATGGGAAAACGAGTATATGTATTGTATGTAATGGAATGAAAACGAAACGAAACAAATCCGAAACGAAACTAAATACGCCAAAAATGTTTACTGAACCCATGAAAGATAGAGATTTCCAAAAAATAAAGAAAGAGAGAGATAGAGAGACAGAGAGAGATTTATGGACTACAGAAATATTGGTCTTTCGGTTTACCCTCCTTTTTCCATCCAAAGTTTAAAAGGCAAACAATAAATTTGTTTCGGCCAAAATGTTCTTAAAACTGGCCAGAATTTGGTTTTATGCCTTGCCTACTTTTTGGCAGCAGCTCTAAATTAATTACTCGATACTTTTCAATTTGTTTTCTGCATCTATATTTGCATGTGTATTGTGTGCGCACGGCAGGAAGGTTTCGATACTCGATGCTCGACATAAATTGCCTTCTCTTGTGTACTTGCAAATTAACCATATTTATTAAAACACAAAACAAGGCCACAAAAAAGGTGTAAAACACACAAATATTAACTACATGAAGCTTTTAATTGTTTAGTCTGGCGCCTGGCAACATGATAAATTAGCATTGAAACGGTTAGGGCTTATAAATATGGTTAATGGTCAGAGTTTTGAGAAGTGTGTCACAGCAAAAACGGGCCTGTCAAAGGCAGCTGAGGTCCTTTATTTATAGATCCCTAACATTCTCAAGCGGAAGGGCAACGCAGTCTGCATTTGCCGTTGCAAGTGGGTAAACTAAAGCAAAAAGCAGGCAGCTCAAGGCCCGCCACAAAAACATGCAACTAAAATTGAAAGCAATGCCAAGAGCAACTAAGAGTAAAAATAAAATAATAAAAGTAAAAGTAAAAGTAAGGAACGCAGAACAGAGCATCACGGTTAGCAACAGCTACAGATACAGATAAATATAAAGATACAGCTACGCTACGATACGATACTGATGCAGATAGAGATACTCACTACGTTTATGCGCAATTTGCTAAACAAACATAATCAATTTAAACTACCCTATCAAGATATTCGAATAAATAATTTTTAATCACTTAATTTTCAGAAGTGATGGTAGAATTAACTTTTTTTTGTCATGAATGAAATGCTATATTGATACAGTTTTCATCGTGATTTGTAATGAAATTTAAACTATCATATATCTGCAAATATTAGTTTGTGTATTGATTGAAATTAGGTTATTAGCATTAAATTGTGCTTATATAATCTTTCTTTATTTTAGCACTTTAATGAAATTGTAATTTTTTTATATTTCTTTCAAATAGTTAACTTTTGTATTTAATCTTGGTTAATTAGTTTAAGTTGTGCTTCTGTAAAATAAGTAAAATTTTCAGCTATATTTTTGTATATTTTCTGATTATTATAACTATATTGATCCTTGACTAAATCTAATTGAATCAAAACCATTACTTGTTTGTTCTTGAATTTAGTAGCGCATAAACGTAGCCATATAGATACGGAGTAGAGACAGTTACAGATAGAGAAGGAGACGTATTACATAGGGACAGAGTTGAAGCCAAGCAGAATGGGGAATACTTATGGGATGTGTCATCGCTGACCAGGACTCACCCTCATCATCCGAGGAGTAGTTGTTGTACACCACTCCGCCGGGTCCGATGTTGGCTTGGCTCTCGGAACGCGATCGCTGAATCCCAGAGGCTGAAGCTGCCTGCTGATTCCCGGCACTGCCACTGCCACTCCCGTTGCCCACCACCAGTCCCGTTTTGCCCGCCTGGGGGCCATAGCGTGCTCCACTGGCCACCGCCGTGGAGGCCAGCAGGATGTTCGGATTGCTGCCCAGCTTGGACATGGCGGACATGTTGCTGCCGCCCTGCTGGATGCCCTTGCGGGTCAACGGTGACTGCAGCATGCGCTGCTTCCACTCGAGCAGTCGCTTCATGGACTCCTCCCGCTTCCGCTCGCCATCCTGGTGATGCTGCGGCGAATTGGAGGCACCACCTGTTCCGCTGGTGGGCGAGGTGGTCGTCGAATTGCCAGCCGAATAGTCATCATCCATGCCGCCCGATCTCTTGGGCAGCCGAGCGCTGGCGGAGCGCAGGAACTGCTCGTTCTTGCTGATGATCTCCTGCGTGGACATCGAGGGCGGGAAAATGGAACCCGGATGTACGTTTAGGGGCGGTAGATTCTCCTCCTGCTGCTGCGAAGGCGGCGACTGCAACTGGGAGGCCACCGAGCGTCCCTGACTGGCGGATCTACTCATGCGCGGCATGCTGCTGCTGGAAACTCCACGCTGAGCCTGAGCCTCGGCCAGCATCTCCTGCCGCTTGTAGGCCCTCTCATAGGGATTCTCATATCCAATCGTGTTCACCCCGGAGTTGAAATCCCCCGCTGCTGTGCGATAACTGCCCGCCTGCTGGGGCTGAGCCGCTCCAGCTCCGCCACTCTGCAGATACAGGGCACTCTTCCGCATCTTCTCGGCATAGCTGGCCTCCGAGTAGTAGAAGCTATCGGGCGTGCGATTGATGTCCAAACTGGACTTGGGCCTCGGCGCCCGTCCGCTCTCCAGCTGACTCTGGGCCACCGCCGCGGCGGCAGCGGCTGCGGCGGCTTCGGCACGCGCCTCGTACTCCAGGAAGTCCGCCGAATGGGGACGCACTATGGCCGCCGCTGAGCGGGCACGCAAGTCCATTGTATTGATTAGTTGATCAGCGGCACTGGCCTAAAAAATGGCGAAAAAGAGGGGGAGGGGTTAGAAGTTAGAAGCTATAAAGGGTTATATAATGGTAATGAGGGTAATTGGCTTTTTCCATTTTTAACTAGAGCTGCAGTCAAAAAAATTCTAGGAGAAATAGAACTGAACTCGGATATTTTATCAGACATTTATAAATAATTTTTTACAACTAAACAAACATATATTAAATAAAGTAAAGATAAAATTAATTATAATTTAAAAATATTTTAAAATATTCTAAGATTTTAAACGAAGTCTTTAGTCGTTATTAACAGAATTTTTTGTACATAAATTGATTAAATTCCTTGTTTTTAATTACTGAAAGTTGATGAATTTTAAAAGCCTATTGATTTAAAACATTAAATCACTTATAAATATTTGTATTAAATGTTAAAAAGTATATATCTTGGCACTCAAAAACTGTAAATAAACCGCAGTTTAATTTTAAAGTGAAATACCAAATTTCATTTATTTTCGTATCACTTTCAAAGTTTTAAGAAAACCCTTTGCTTAAGTGTTGAAGATTGGCGTGGCCCATAACTTGTTCGACACTTGGCAGGCGGCACAGCTGGTCTTTTGGCCAGGAACCCCTGGTAGCCATAAATCATGCACGCGACTCATTTCCCGTCTAACTTGCTGGGCCTGACCTGACCCACTAAACAGCTGCCCCACAGCCGAACACCACCCGCCGACCACCACCCACTGCCCCCTGACCAAAAGGAGGAGGAGAGCGCATAAAGTTGCATTCGAAGGAAATTGCTGCACTGGCGGCCAAGAAAGAGGAATGGGAGCTTCTTCCTTCTAACGAAACGAAACGTCTGCAATTCAGCAACCCACTGACACACTAAAGTCCAATTAAATTTTGAGCTGCGGACTCGAGACGGCAGCTGCTTGAAACCGAAAGTTTCCGACTCTGAAAAGACTCTCCATTCCCGTCTATCAATGTGGGCAAACAGCAGCAGCTTTTGTGAGTGCGGCTTTATGGAGTCGTCGGAGCTTGAGGAAGGAGCTATCTCAGCAGGAGCAGAAACACCACCACCTGGCCACCAGGCAAGGGCAAATAAAAGTGAAAAGCTGATACGTGCAGAGGTGCAGTACGTCTCAGCCAGCAAAACTTTGCAACTAGGTCAGGGAAAGAGGTGAGGAAATATAAAACCCCTACTTGATTTCCCCCCTGGGTTTTTGTGAGCATTCGCAGCAATCAGACAACATCAAGTGGCATCGCAGATGATTTGGTGGGCTGACCTTTGCCCGATGCCACGCCCCCAAGCTCCCAGCTTCCAACTCCCAGTTCCCAGCTCTCGAAGCACCCATAAAGCCAAGGCTGCAACGCCAAGTGGCAGGTCATCAGCAATCGCAATCGCAATTGCAATCGGAATCGCAGCTCGTTGCTGCCTGGAGGGCTGTGGTTTGCCATTTTGACTGCCTTTGAGAATTGCACTCACTGTTGGTGCCATTAAATCCTCAGTGATGGAAATTTTTAACCACTTACTTCTCGGATAAAATATGAATAAAAAGGAAAGTTAATTTGAATAAAATGATGTGAAATTGTTCTTAGCGGCCAACGAATTTTGCACGTATTTTTAAAAAATTCCTTTCAAATTATCGTTTATGATAAGATAAGTTTTTTAAATAGTTTAAAAACACAACCAGAAATTTTAAATACATTTTTGGGCTATCAGACTTTATATTGAGTTTTTTTATATTAATAAATTCTCAATTTGTAAGCCTTTCTGTTAAATAAATAACTTTTCTGTTCGAAATTGTCAAAGGAATACTGTTTTTGGGTTATAATACTTCATATTGACTTCCTTGGAAAATAAGAAAAAATTTCTAAATAATATGGAAAATATTAAAGAAAAATAGGTATATTAAATATTTAGTATGTTTAATTTTTGTTGATCAAAAATAATTATTATTGTGCGATACTTAAAATAACACTCATAATAATTACGGTCCCTGATATTTACTTGTACTAAATTTTAAAGACTTTTTTTGAAAACAAAACTATCAAATTGTTTAAAATGGCTTTTTTTTATCAAAATTGTGAAATAAATTCCAAAATATCTAGTAGCCAGCTCTATTTTTCCCCTTTTTCCTATAACTTACCTCCATATGATTGGGTGTGTACCGCTGCGGCATCGCTGGCACGTGCTTGCTGCCATCATAGCTGGGCGGGCTGAGGGGTCGCCGGTAGCTGGCTGCCTCCTGGAGAAGTGCCTCCTGGGCGGACATGGCCCCTCCTCCACCACCAACCGCCAGCTGCGACATGTTGTAGATGTCCTCGTAATCCGCGGCAGCTGCGGCGGCGGCAAAGAGTCGCTGCTGCTTCGATCGCCCATAGGCATCGGGAGTCCTCCGCTCCGCTTGCAACAACTGCTGCTGCGTGGGATACGATCCATTGGGACCCTGCCGCTGTTGCATCAACTTGGCCATGTACATCTCCCGCTCGCCGTAGATCTCCTCGGCGGCCCGCTGTTGCTGCAACCTGGCGATCTGCTCCTCCATGTCCAGCTGCTGCTGCTGGAACTGCGCCTCCAGGTGATCCAGCGAGTACTGCTGCTGCGCCTGCTGCAACTGCAGGGCGGTGGACACATGGCCCGTTCGCGTGTCGTAGATGGCATGGTGTTGCTGCGGTTGCTGCTGCTGCTGTTGCTGTTGCTGCTGCTGAGATCGTTGGTGTTGCTGCTGCTGCTGGTAGATTTGCTGCGTGGGCGACATGAGGCGGCGACTAGGATGTTGCTGCTGCTGTTCGTTGTGCTCGGGCGATGGCGAGGAGTAGCCACCATCGTTGATGCGCCTCGGTTTCGGTGGGGCATTGGCATACAGGGGCTGTCCACTGCCGCTGCCTCCGCCACTGCTGCCCGTATTTTCCGACGAGGGCGTGGGCTGTTGGCCACCCTTTCCCAGATTTCCCGACTGCAATGTGTGTATGCCCGAATCGGAATTCTCGCCACTGTGATTCAGCGAGGAGTTCACACTTGGCTCCGATTCCCCGCTGCTGGGTGCCTGCATCAAACTCGCGGCCGCCAAGGCCCTCACCCACTGCATCATTGAATCCGAGTTATCGGCTGCCAGCCAATAGGTTCGCATATTCTGATGCTCACACTTGAAGGCAAACTTGCGATAGATCTTGTCCTCGGGCAAACAGGCGGATACGCGATATGAGGGCAGCAGCACTGAACCCAGCAGCTTCTCCTCCTCCGGTCCCTTGTAGTAGTACAGGCAGTACTCGGCCAGGACGAACCAACGTTTGCGCCACACCTTCAGACCATCGGAGCCCTGTTTGTGCAGCCAACCGGATAAGGTAACCGGTGTGGATGGTGGCCTCTTGGTAATGGGTGACTTCAGGGCCTGAATGGAACCGGCACTCTTTTTTCTATCCAATGGTGCATGAGTGGGACTCTTGGCCGAATTGGAGGAGGACTCCTCCGAACTGGGCGTGGCCTTGGGCTTGACCGCCGATATTTGGGTCTGGCAGGCCTGATTGACCACATGACCAGGGTGATTCTGCTGAATGTACACGGTGCCATGCTCACTGCCCGGGGTTTGCAGGTCGCTCTTGTGACGATGTTGCTGCTGCTGTTGTTGCAACTGTTGCTGCTGCAATTGCTGCTGCAACTGTTGCTGCTGGGCGTACAATTGCTCCTGGTAGTGTTTGGGCATTGCAGGTTGCTGCTGCTGTTGCTGTTGCTGCTGCTGTTGTTGTTGCAACTTTAGAGGACCCTGAGCAGGTTGATATTGGTTTTGCAAGTTAAGCGAAGAGGGAGGAGCCCTCTGCTGCTGCTGCTGCTGCTGTTGTTGCTGCTGCTGGGTGAGAGTGGTCATATTGGAGACCATGCTGGGCGACTGACTCATGTGGTAGTGATTCGTGGGCGGGTTCATGGCCTGTCGCAGGGCAAAGGTCCGCTGCTGCTGCTGAGCGGCCTCGCTTTGGGTGGCCATTTGGGCCTGCATCTTGGCCGCCTGCAGCTGCTGGTACTGCGATTGCAGGGCCGAGATGGGATGATGTCCGGCCATGGCATTGCTGGCCTGCAATCTTCCGGCGGCAGCCAGATAGGTTCGCTCCGTGGGCGATTGATAAAGCTGCTCACCGGCCGCCGTTCCCCCGCTGCTCGAGTAGGACTGATGGTAGGGCGATGAGTGTGAGCTGCTCGAGGTGCCTCCTCCTCCGTGTTTCATCAGGTTGAGGTGCTGCTTGGACTGCGGCTGCATCTCAATCGGGGACAATGGTCCTCCTCCGCTGGAACTGGTGGCCGTGGGCGATTGCTGGTACAACGCCTGACTGTAGGCCGCCGTTCGGTAGTCCACGAGATTCGTCTGGTAGGCCAGCGGCAGCTTCTTCTGCTGCTGCGCCAGGATCGCTGCCTCCTGCAGCTGCTGCAGCTTCTTGGCGTCCATGGTGCCGGCGGTGAAGAGCGGCGGCGCCTCCAACCTGGAAAGGGTAAGGAAGCGGAAAAGCGATCAGTGGAAGTTCGCAAGGCAGGCGGAACTGTGATTCAATCAGACGAGGTCACCCGGCATGATTTGCTCGCGTGGACAGGGTAATTAACCCTAGAAGTACAGTGGATTTTATTGGTTCAAAAGCTATGGGGCACAAAAAGTTGAATGTTACTAAATCCCGGTTTTAAAAAAATATATATTATTTTTAGTCACAAAAGATTTTTAGCGATATTTTTAATTTTTTTTTTAAGATTATCTTTGTTGCTAATTCCATTAAAGGTCTTATAAATATCAATTAAAATTTTTTGGAAAATACAAGAGTTTTTTATTGTTTTTTTCTTTTAATTCCCTATAATAATTTATTTGTAATTCTGTCAACAAATATGACTCTCCTAAAAATCCGATGATTTTGTACAGCTAATAACCCTAGCTAATTATATTTATTTTTGTATCGACCTTAAAATATATTTAAAGAATTATTTTCTTTCCAATGACATCATCTCGTAAACTCAGCTTAATGGCTATTTCTAAGCGTAGCTAAATATTTCAAAAATGTCACAAATATGTCAGCAAGGGGTTAATTCCTTCGCGAGCTGCGGAAGACACGGAGGCCGCGGAAAATGCAACTGGCTTCGCGCGTAATTGACCGTAATTGATTAACTGCAGTCGCCGCTCCGGCCACAAACACACGGCTGACCTTGCCGGCCTCATTTTCTCTGCGCGGAAATGGGAAATCGGAAGGGGCGAGGGGGATGGGGATGGTGTGGGGAAAATGGGGAAAGAGGGTACTCTGCCGAGAGAGATCTACGAGATTTACGCTACTCACCAGTCCCAAAGCTGATAGATGCAGCCAAACATTTTTGCACTTTTTTTCTGCTTTGGTTTGTCGTGTATTTCGTTAAATCGCGTTAATAACTTAATTGGCCTTATTGCCTTAATTGAATTGCACTAATTTTTCTTTCTCGCACCCGCCTTTTCGCTTTTATTGTAATGAGTTTTGATTTGATTATTCGATTGGCTGCAAAAACTCAATTAAAACTTTTCGATTGAAATGCGGCGGCCTCTTTTTTCGCGTTGCCTTTTCGCGTGTGTGCCTCAGACTTTTTGGGGGGCACCGAAAACCAAAAAAAAAAGGAACGAAAATTGCAGTCGCCGCCGTCTAGTTGCAATTGAAACTGCGAATGTGTCTATTTTTATTGGAGGCGGACCGCAGATTTATTTGTCGACGCTCGGCGGCAATTGTCAAGAACAAAAAATTGAACAAAAGAACAGAAAAACTAAAACCGAAAAGTCAAAGAGAAAGGAAAGCTTAATTTTCATATTGATTTTCTCGAGTAGAGTGGGTAAACTCAATTTAATTAAATTCTGTTTTGATCCTGCTTGAAATTTGTTTATGTTTTGCATATTCAATGCGAATTTGAAACCTCCCCAAAACTGTGTACAAAAAAAATAAATCATCTCCAAGGAAACAATAATTCCCTTGTCGAATATTGAACACGAATTCGGTTTTAATGCGAGCAAACGAATCGAGTGGACAAATCCCAGATACGACACACACGGCAAACATTTGGGAGGCCAAACACTCGATAACCGCTCTATCGAATGACAATTTTAATGCAATTTAACGTCGAGAACTATGAGATGCAGATGCAGGCCGGAATGCACGGCTAGATGCATCTGCAATGAGCCCGTTGTCGAATGCATTTAACCAAATGAATTATGGATTGCCTTTATTGAAGCTCCGGCACATGCAAGTGCATGTCCAACGGAAGGGCAAAAATGTTGATTTTTTCGTCCCCGCCCGGGTTATTCCATTCTGTTCTCTTCGATCCTGTCTGTCTGGGCATTAAATGAATCCCTTACCATAAAAATCGAAGCAGGTAGAGAAAAATGACTGGTTTTCACATCACTTTAAATTAAAATAATAAAAAAACTAAATAAAGTTAATAATAGCTGGTATTACGAAATCACTTTTAAACTTCAACATATGTGTCTAAAAGTATGCAACAATATATTTTTAACACAAAAGTGGCATGAATTCATACTGAAAAACAATTATTTTTTTCACTGCATACTTTTAGACAGATATTTTTAACATTTTAAGGCGATTTTAAAAACATGGCTTTTTTTATTTATTTAAAATCGTTTAAAAATTCAAGAAAAATAAAAAAATAATAGTATCCATTTCAATAAATTATTTTGTAGTTTTTCTTAGTGCCTGAAACTTGACTCGTGGCATTAAAAGCAAAGTCCTGTTGAAAATGTTGCGCAATAAATAAGCAATTGATCCGGTGTTAACGGCCATTGATGGCCAGACTTTTTCTATTCCTTGGCCCAGTGTGTAGTTCGTATCCCCGTGACCATTTTACGCTACAATCAACTTTGGCCAAACAATTTTATAATTGCCTGCTAGCCGAGCCGCAATTTGTATGGCTTTCAATTACCGCCTGGCGTTTGCCAAAAGCGCAATGGCTGAGAACTGAGCTGAAAACTCGAAGGAAGACGTGGCCCAGAGCAAAACGCACAATAAAATATTGGCGGCGGAACAACAATACAAAATCAATACCGATTAAACGGCAGGACTCGTCGCTCTTTCTTTCTCGTTCTCTGGGCTCCCTTGAGCTGGGTTTTATTTATTTATGCGGGTTGACTGGCGAGGGAGGCAAAGGGAAATGGCTGCCTTGCAGCTTCTTGATGTTGCAACATTTTCCCGCTTTTCGGTTGACAGACGCCGCTAATGTGAGCATGAAAAATTACCACAGAAATATTTTATGCACACAACGGGGAGGGCACAAGAATGTGCCAAAAAAATATGTGCATATAAATGGCCCACATATTCTATACCTACATATAATGTATGCCATGGTGAATATTATGCTGAAAGTTGATATAAATTTGGCATCCGGCCAGCACGGCCCCAAAAACTACGGGGCCGATGGTTATGATACACAGCATATTATGCTTATTTATATAACAAATTACAATAGGACCGATTAGAGGTCATCTGGCCAATGTGTGTGTTTATTCCGAAACTGGAGTTCCCCAGGAAATTTCCCTTTTGTTCCGCCTTTTATTTGCTCTCACTCATATGCATATGTTCAAATATTTAAAAGCTGACCGAAAATGATGATGATGAACGGCTAAACTATGTCGATAATCGAGCTTCCATTAACTTTGTTTGGCATTTGATTGGCATGCGAGTTTTCCCAATTTCGATCGGGAATTTCAATAAAATCGCGCATACGACCTGTGGTATGCGCAGTGGAATTCCATTATCTCTGATAGCTTTTTGTGATACGTATAATTATAATTTCAGGTCGTGACCGCCTGTCAGGTCATAAGTATATCTTGATGGGGGTTTTGATAGGATAGGACTTTTGCCTACTTTTCGGGGACCTGTTTATTTTTAGCTGGAATTTAATTGCTGTGACATATGCAACAGCCTGTCTGTCAACCACACACACCTCTAAAGACCGGAGACACACCTGCTTGGGGAGTTGACCCGCAATCCAGCCACCAACTGTCCGCAATGACGTCATTACCACCAACGACAAGTGCCACTCAGGCCGAGGGGAGAAGGGAAAAGGGAGAGAAGGTAGCCAACAGCCAAAAACTTCCACCAGGCCACTTCACATTGAATTGGCCATAGTCAGAGTCGGAAAAGGCGGCCCACTGAAACTGGCCAACTTAATTAGTATTGAGACCTGCCCCCTTTTTTCTCCTCGTTTTTCCTCCCGCGACTCTTGTAATACGCTAAGTGCAATTATAAATAGTCATCAAGCAAAAGATTCGAAAGTAGTTAAAGCTCTAGAAAACCCAAGTGGAGCAATAAATAATGTGAGAAAAGTACAACAAAACTTGGGTGGGTCGGTCTGGTATGGGTAGGAAAAATCAATAAACAAGAAAAGCGAAAAGTTGAGATACAGAAAGAAGACGGCAAATATCTGAGCGCCCGGCTGAAAGTGTGACAAACTTCGGGAACATTGGGGAGAAGTGGCCCACCTATTGAGATACACATAGATCGAACAACACGGAAAAAAACTTAGGTTCCAGGAACACTACTTATATGTGGAAAGAAAACATTGTCAATGAAAGTGGTTGGTATTTTGTAAGTCTTTTCCTTGAAATTCACTCTTATTTATAAGAAAAAGGGGTTACAAAATACTAGACCAACTTTAAAGACATTCTATCTTATTTCTCTCTCTGCAAAAACCTTCTTGTGTACTTTTGGTTTTTATTTTTCGCCATTTTCTTGAAAGCCCTCTGGGTATTTGGCACATCATGACCTTGCCAGTTGATGAGTTGCCTTGCCTTTGATGAGTTGTCAATGGGCGGAGATACAAACACAAGGAGATATGTTAAGGGTATGCGAATTTGGGCCAAAAGTGTTGCATAATATTTGCCCGAGGCTAGAATGGCCGGTACTTTAACAAATCGCCTCGGCTCACACGTCATTTTAAGAGGGGCGCAAAAATGTTTGCTTATTGCTTATTGATCTTCCTGGGCAGTCAACCGATTGTAAAATTTGCATTTGCATTCCGCAAAACAATTGAAAGCAATTAAACTCAAATCAATCATTAAATTGAGTGTGTGAGTGTGTGTGCTGTGTGTTTGTGTGCATGTATGAGTAGCGGATAATGCTTAATGGCATTCGACGGCAATCTGTTTTTGCAGGCGATGCATTAAGCTGAAATCATAACGATTCTGTGGCCGATGGCTAGCATAAATCAGAAATGGATCGATCCCTGGTTTTGGGTTATTAATTGAAGCCGGCATTGTTGGTGGATTGTTTCCAAGAGCTCGGGGCTTCGCAGTTACCTGACCTGCCATCGGAAATTGGATTTTGGTCCAAAGTTCAAGTTTCGAAAGATGCAATATGCAAATGGTATGGGTATGGGTATGAGGCTTTGGTTTACTGAATACTTTGCCAAGTATGATGGAATCAAAGTTTTGTTTAAACAACATTTAAGCCCGGCAGCAGCAACATCAGCCGCCCCAATTCAAACTTGCACACTTGATTTGCCAGACAGTGTGTGCTCTTGAAGAAGAACAACGGCTGTTGGGTTAGGTTAGAGCACCGCACCCCCTTCCCCGTCACCTCTCTCAACCCAAAACAACATCCCAAACATTCCGACGAGGAGGTCCTCGCAACAAGGCATAAATATTCATGGGTATAGTTGTACGAGGAGGGCGAACGAGAGGGACACATTGAGATGGATAGAGATGCACACGGACAGATGCCTCAATATAGCCGGATTATACAGGGAAAAATCAAGGAGTGCTATATAAAATTAACTAATTAATATTGGTTATTAAAATATAATTTTTTTTTAAAATTATTAAATAAATATGCAAAATAAGACTGATTTGATCTATTCAATATATTTGTTTAAGGAACAGTATAATATCTCAAAAAATTATTTATATTTTATTGTTTGTTAAACAAAAAATGGTATATATAAAAACAACATTTGTAAACATTTTGCAAATTAAAAATATCAATTTTTTAAAATTACAATATTCCTTATCAAAAATCTACCGGAAGATGTATTCTTTATTTATTTAGTACCCCCTATTAGGAAATAATAACTGTAGCAAAAAGCCAGTTCTAATGAATCCATTTGAAATCTCAATTTATAGGGCTATTCTAGGCAGCTTTCTAGTTTGGCTCAGTGTGTTTATGTATGCGTCAACTTCTGCCCAGAATGACACTTGATGATGGAGATTTTGTTGCTTTCACTTTTGTCGTCCTAGTAGTGGGTTGTTGTCCTTAGAGCCTCTGACTTGATTGGCATAGAAGCCAAACGAGCGGAGAGCAACAGACGTGCATGCATCGTCATCATCACCATCATCATCCTCCTCCTGGTGGGTGCAATACCATTCTATCTCGCTGTAACCCACAATCAGGAGCCCGGGCACGTCCTTCTCGAGGAGCAGCGAAGGCGTCAATGCAGCCCAGGCGGCAAAAAGGACAGCAACGCGGCGCGTTCTCTGTCTCCAAGGTGATTATCAATGGCA